TGCCGCCCGCATGCGTCCCCGCCAACCATGTCGGCGCACCCTTCGTACGTTTCGTGGCCCCGTGGGAACCTCCACCCGAGGCCTAAATTATGCCGCTCGCATGCGTCCCCGCCAACTGTTTCGGCACACCACTTACACCTTTCGTGGCCCCAGGAGCTCCCTCCACCCAAGGCCCACATGGCGCCGTCCGCATGCGTCCCCGCCACGCATGTCGGCACACCCCTCACACGCTTCGCGGCCCCATAGGGAGCTCCACCGCAGGCCCGAATTGTGCCGTCCGCAGGCGCCCCCGCAACCGATGGCGGCACAACCCTGACGCACTGTGTGGCCCCATGGGGAGTTGCACCCGAGGCCCTGGCGCCGTCCGCATTCGTCCCCGCGTCCTATGTCGACGGGCCCCTTCGCACGCTTCGTGGCCCCACGCGGAGTTCCACCCAAAGCGCCAACGGCGCCGTTCGCATGCGTCCCCGTCACCAATTCCAGCACGCCCTTCACACGCACCCCGTAGGGAGGAGCTCCACCCAAGGCCCCACATGGCGCCGTCTGCATGCGTCGCGGCCACCCATGTTGGCACACCCCTCGCACGTCTCGCGGCCCCACGAGGAGTTGCACCGAAGGTTTCAGCGGCACCCTCCGCACGCGCCCCCACCACCCAATACGGCGCGCCCTTTGCGCGTTTAGTGCTCTTGTGGGGAGCTCCACGAAGGCGCCAGTGGCGACGCGCGCAAGCGGTCCCCAACCCATTTCGGCACACCGTTCACGCGGTGCATGTCCTTACAGGGAGCTACACCCAATGTCCCAGCGCATCGTAAGCACGCGCCGCCCCCTCAAATGTTCTTCGCGTTTCGTGGCCCCACAGGCAGCTCCACCCAGGGCCCCATTAGGAGATCCACTGATGGCGATATCCGCGACGACGGCACTCGCAACTGGATGCGGTTGGGTCTTTCGCATGGTTTTTTCAGGTCAGAATTGGCAATGGCGATGCTGACAGGGCGGCTAAGTTAGGGTTGAGGCTTCACCCCTCAGCCATCAGCGAGCGAGAGACACGCCTTGACTTCGCAAGACTGCAGCCCTTTCTCAGGAACGAGTTGTTTGCACTTACGGCCTAGGCTCGACCTCGCGGGATTGGGGCTTTGGGGGGGCCCGAGATTGATGTCAGCGCCGCCGCCTCCAAGGATCGCGGCTGGGCGCGGCGCCGCCGTTGCTGGAGATGCTCCACGCGCCCCAGCTGCAAGCGCCGCCCCTCTCCTCCTGGTTGGAGCGGCCGCGTTCCTGAGGCCATCACTGGGCTCAGCGTTCAGCGGCCGTGGGGCGCAATGCGACGAAGCTTCTGCGTTCCGACGATTCTCCCGCTCTGTGCGTGCGTGCGCGTGGCACGCGAGGCATGCGCCGCGCTGGGCCCCCCCGCTGCTCGAGTCCAAAGTCGCCCCCCCCCTCCCCCCCGCCCGCGTCGGCGCGCCCCTCGCAAGCTCCGCGGCCCTATATGAAGGCTCCACCGGAATCCCCAGTGGCGCAGTTCGAACGCGCCCCCGCAACCAATTTCGGCGCGCCTCTCGCACGCTGCGTGGACCCATAGGGAGCTTGGCCGAAGATCCCAGCGGCGCAGTTCGCACGCGTCCCCGCCGCCCATGTCGGCGCACCCTTGACGCGTTTCGTTTCCCCAGCTGGAGCTCCACCGAAGGTCCCACTGGCGCAATTAGCGTGCGCCCCCGCCACCCATGTCGGCTCCCCTCGCACGCTGTGCGGCACCATAGGGAACTTCGCCGACGGTCCTAGCGGCGCAGTTCTCATGCGTCCCCGCCACTCATTTCGGCACACCGTCACACGCTTCGTGGCCCCTTAGGGAGCTCCACTCAACTGGCAGTTCGCATGCGTCCCCGCTCCCAATTTCGGCGCACGCCTCACGCGTTTCGTGGCCCCATTGGGAGCTCCACCGAAGATCCCAGTGGGCCTCCGCCCAAGTTCACGCACCCCTCGCACAGTTCGTGGCCCCGTAGGGAGCTAAACCGAAGATCGCAGTGGCGCAGTGAGCACGCGTCCCCGCCATAAATTTCGGCTCACCCCACACACGCTTCGTGTCCCCATAGGGAATTCCACCGAACGCCCCAGTGCCACCACTTTCGGTACACTGCTCACTCGTTTCGTGCCCCCAAAGGAAGCTCCACCGAAGGTCTCAGTGGCGCAGTTTGCATGCGCACCCGCGAACAATTTCGGCACACCCCTCAGACTGTGCTGGCCTCATGCGGAGCTACACCGGAGATCCCAGTGGCGCAGTTTGCATGCGCCCCCGTCACCCGTGTCGGCACACCCCTCACATGTCTCGTGGCCTCGTAGGGAGATCCCACAGATATCCCAGCGGGCAGTCCGCACACGTCCCCGACGCCCAGCTCGGCAAACCTCTTACTCGTGTCGGGGCCCCGTAGTGAGCTTTACCGAAGATCCTGGCGGAGCAGTTCGCATGCGTCCCCGCCATTACAGTGCCGTTTTTAATACATGCTCCGCGTGCGGACCATGTGTGAAAAATACAGGGTTGATTTACACATGCAAGGATGAGTTGATGCATTAATCTATTCATAAATTAATCATGCATTAAATTCCTATGTGTTAAACATCCCATGTATTAAAAATCTGCCCGGTAAGTTCGGCACACCCCTCACGCGCTTCGTGGCCCCATGGAGAGCTCCACCCGCGGCCCGCAGGCAGCCGCCCCCGCCTGCGTCTCCGACGCCCCTTTCGGCACACCCCTCGCTCGGCTTCGTGGCCTTCGTGTGGCCCCGTTGGGAGTTCCGCCGAAGACCCCAAGGTAGCAGCTCGAAGGAGTCCCCGCAGCCCAGTTCGGCACGTCCTTCGCTCGCTTCGTGGCCCCACAAGGGGCTCCACCGAAGGTCCCAGCGGCGCAGCTCACACGTGCCCCCACCAACATGTCGGCATACCCCACACACGTTCGTGGCTCCATCGGGACCCCCGCCGAAGATCCAAGCGGCCAGTTCTCATGCGTCCTCGCCCCCAATGTCGGCAGACCCTCACACGGTTCGTGGCCCCATATGGAGCTCCACCGGAGATCCCCGTGGGCGTCCCGCGTGCGTCCCCGCCATCCATTTCGGCTCTTCTCATGCGCTTTGTGGCCCCGCAGGGAGCTCTACCGAAGATCCCAGTGGCGCCGCCCGCATGCGTCCCCGCCACATCTTTCGCCACACGCTTCACACGTTTCGTGGCTCCGTAGGGAGCTCCACCGAAGACCCCACCCGCATGCGGCCCCGCCACCTATCTCCGTGCACCCCTCACATGTCTCGTTGCCCCGTAGGGAGCTGCACCGCCCGCATCTGTCGCCGACACCCACTTCGGCACACCCCTCATGCGTTTCGCGGCCGTCTACAGGACTCCACCGAAGGCCCCAGTGGCGCCGTTCGCATGTGCCCCCGCCTCCCATGTCTGCACACCCCTCGCACGTTTCGTGGCCTCACACGCTTCGTGGCCTCACCGAAGGTCCCCGCGCCAGGGTTCGTATGCGGCTCTCCGCCCACCGCATGTTAATTCCGAAACGTTCCTCACAATGTTCGTGGCCCCATAGAGGTGTTTCCCCTTTCTCTGTCTCACCTGCACCTGCAGATGGTTGGGCTCTTCGCCACGATAGATATGGCAAGGTTCCCCTCTCTTCCATCGAGAAGGGCGGGCAGCCCGGCGGGTAGCTCCAGGAGGTGAGGGAGGCCCTCTCCTTGAAGAGGACGAGGCCCCTTTTGTCCGAACTGCCCCCCATACGCTCCGCTGCGTTTGACGATTCCGACAGGGCTCCTGGGCCCTTTTGGTCTCCCCCGTCTGCGTGGGCCACCGCGGGGTCGCCCTTCAGCCCTCAAGTGGGGGCTGGCTCCTTGGCGGAAATTCCTCCTCTTCTTTCTCCTCTTCCTCCTCTTCCTCCTCTTCCTCCTTTTTCTCCGGTTCTTCTCCTTATAATTAATTCCTTCCCGTCGCATCCCGAAGCCGGTCGAAAGGGCGGGCCGGACGTTACGCTTGATACCTCCTCACCATGTATGACCCGAAGGAGGGCGGGCCGCTTCCAAAATGTGGCTCCCGCCTTAGCGCCGCACGCAGTCGTTTAAACTTTACAAGAGCTTCAAACATTGATGGGGTGGCCGTTTTCCAAATGTGGCTCTCGCCTCAGCTCCGCGCACGCTCGTCTTAAACATATGCAAGGGCTGCATGAATTGAGGACGGTTAGTTCCCAACATGTGGTTCTAGCTTTAGCCCCGCGCAGAGTCGTTTTAAGAATTTGCAAGAGCTTCACGGATTCAGGGCGACTTGTTTTTAAATCGTGGTTCTGGCCAGAGCGTTGGGCACATGCGTTCCAAAAGCTTGCCAGAGGTTCACGGATTCCCATGGTCAACGTACCAGAAATGTTTTTCTTGTTGCGAAAAGGATTCAGGAATGTGTCGGCGTAACAGTTACGTTGATTCGCGGTGTCTAAGTCTCAGGAATGGTGTTCTGGCACGATTCAGGATCGCCAAGACGCAAGAGTCAGATTGATCCGTGGCGTTGGAGTTTCGAGAGTTCTGTTTTGGCAAGTTTGAGGGTCTTCAAACGGTTGTCTCCCAAAGGGGCAGTTCCGCCAGTGGAAATGAACCTTTGTAGGGGCCCATGAAGAGGGAGCTTGGAGGGAGGGTTTATTCTAACATCATTGATGAGTCTTGGGTGTGCACTGGTCCTCCTCCTCCTCCTCCTCCTCCTCCCTCTCCTCCTCCCTCTCCTCCCCCTCTTCCTCCTCCTCCTCCTCCTCCTCCTCCTCCTCCTCCTCCTCCTCCTCCCTCTCCTCCCCCTCTTCCTCCTCCTCCTCCTCCTCCTCCTCCTCCTCCTCCTCCTCCTCCTCCTCCTCCTCCTCCTCCTCCCCCTCTTATTCCTCCTCCTCCTCCTCCTCCCCCTCTTATTCCTCCCTCCTCCTCCTCCTCCTCCTCCTCCTCCTCCTCCTCCTCCTCCTCCCCCCTGGGTCGAATGGAACATGAGGGCAGAGTCTGGACGCCCAAACCTCCTCCTCCCTCCTCCTTCTCCCTCCTCCTCCCCCCCTCCTCGTCTTCCTCCTCCTCCTCCTCTTCCTCGCCCTCCTCCTCCTCCTCCTCCTCCTCCTCCTCCTCCTTCATCGCCCCCTCATTGAGCCTCGCCCAGCGCGGCCCCCCTGCGCGGCGGGCGGCCTCCCTGCGCGGCGGCGGCGGCGGCTCCTGCGTGGCGGCGGCCATCTGCGCGGCGGCGGCCTCCGAGGCGGTGTCCGAGCCGCCCCCCCCTCCCGCGGCGGGGTGAGGCGCGCGGCCTCGCCTTACGGAGCCTGCGCGATCTCTCGCCGCCAGTGGCGCCGCCAGTGCCTGTCAGGCGGGGTCCCCACTGCGCGGCGTCGTCTCTTCGCGTGCTGGCCCCGCTGCGCGAGGAAGAGGAGGAGGAAGAGGAGGAGGAGGATGAGGAGAAACGGCGGGGGTGAGTGACAGGAGTACAGTCGGCCCGAGGTAGAAGATCGAGGTCGGTTCGGGGAGGGTACCCTCAAGTGCTTCACGTATGTTGGATGTTCTTGTGTGTTCTGGGGAGGGCACCCTAGGATGTTCGGTATGTTTTGGCCAGCGGAGGGCCTCAGTTCTTGAAGGATGTTCTTCTGGCCTTGGTCCGACTGTAGAGGCATGAGGGAGAGGAGGAGTATGATGAGGAGGAGGAGGAAGAGGAAGAGGAGGGGGAAAAGGAACAGCAGGATGAGGCGGCGGAGGCGGAGGGGGAGTGATAAGAGGCGCAGGAAGTGAGGGTATACGAGTGGGCCACGGCCGCCGAAGAGGGCGCAGAGACATGGATGCTCGACTCACGTGCGGTCAAAGCCCAGCACGAAGTAGCGCCGGAAGGAATGCTGCTTCGACAACACATGTATCAACCAGCGCTGCCCTTTCTGACACCCTAGCTAGTCCAGGGCCCGTCGGCCCATCCCGCCACCGCGCCTGGCTGTCGACCGCAGGCCTCTTGAATTTATCTCGGGGGGCCTCTCGGGGGCCTCGTGGAGAACTCTTGGGGCGTTTTGGGAGCCTGGTTGTGGTGTGACGGAGGCCTCTGGCGGGACTCTTGGAGGCATCTTCGGGCTCATCTTGAGCCCCTTCTTTCGAATTCCCGTTTTTTGGCCAGCTTCGAAGCGTATTGAGCCCCTCGTGGCGGTTCTTGGGCCGCCTTGGGCTCTCAAAATTGCCCGAACAAGCTACGAGCACTCAGTGGATCTTGATAAATTTGTCTTCTCTCCTCCGCACGCGCAGCCGTTTTGGGTCAAGCAGGTCGAGGCTCACGGTCTAAGAGAGGCCCCGGCGCGAGGTAAGCAGCGCACCGCGATCCGCCATGGCGGAGGTGGCGGCGGACGAGGTGCCCCAGGCCGAGAAGGACGAGCTGTTCTGCGCGTACGCGGCGATGATCCTCAAGGACTCCGAGCTGGAGGTCTCGGAGGAGAACCTCACGACCCTCATCAAGGCCGCCGGCGGCTCCATCGAGTCCTTCTTCCCCGCTCTGTTCGCCAAGATGTGTGCTGGCAAGGACCTGGAAGACTTCCTGAAGTTTGGCGGCGGCGGGGGGGCTCCGGCTGCCGGAGGAGGCGGAGGTGGCGGCGGAGGTGGCGATGGACCGGCGGCCGAGAAGAAGGAGGAGAAGAAGGTCGAGGAGGAGGAAGAGGAGGAGGACGTGGACTTCGACCTCTTCGGCTGAGGGCGCGCCGTGTGCCCCAGGGGTTCCAGGGCCTACACTTGCGCGCGGGCCCACCTCCCCGCTCCCCGCCATCCCCATCCTTGCCTCTGCCGACCCTCCCTCCTCTCTCTGGCATCCCTTCCTGCCTCCCTCCGCCCTGCCCTGCCCCTCCCTCCCTCCGTTCGGACGGCTCCCTCATACATCTGTTCCGCCCTCCCTCTCCCACCCCCATCCATCCTTATTCCATCGCTCGTCACTTCCCCACCCCTTCTCCCTATGTTGCCTCCCCTTTTAGATTCCCCCATGCATCTCGTCTGCCCTCCCTGTCTCCCAGCCGCCTCCTCTGTCGTCCGTCACACATACTTCCTCCCTTCGTAGCCTTTTGGCTCAAGGGGGCCCGCCTCCTCAAGAAGGCCCAGGTTGGCTCAAATGTTCCGGATGCTCGACAACGGTCGAGGGTCTCGAGAAGGCGTTGTTTTCTCGAAGCGTCGATCAAGAATTGCGGTCGGACCAAACAATGAAGCGCAGCAATGCGGTTGCTCTGCGAAGGAATTCGAGTAGGTGCGCAACTCGTCCCAAGCCACTACGTTGCGGCTGTCAGACCATGCAGAAAAGGCGGCCAATGGCAACTCGCGCTGTCAGTACTGAGCGAGATGTTGGAAGTGAAGCTGGAGCCCGACATCATCTCTCCTACAATAGCCGGGTCCGCGCGTGCGGTGCCCAGCGCAGTGGCAGCGAGCCGCCCCCCCCCGGCCGCTTCGGGGTGGCCGTCGGGGTCGCCTCGGAGCCTCTGGAGCGGCTCCGATCTGGAGCGGCTCCGATCGCGCAGCGGACGCTCCGTGACTGCCGAAGATCCGCTCCAGACGCCCCCAAGACGGCCTCAGGACGGCTCAAGACGCCCCCGAGTTGCCCCGAGAGACCTCCGAGCGGGCCCTTACGACGCAAAAATCGTCCCATTCCCTTCGTAAAACGTAAATGTTTGGAGAACAGATGTGGGAGGTGAAGCTGGAACCCAACGTCGTCTCTACTACAATGCATCAGCTACAACGCTGGGATCAGCGCGTGCGCGAACGGCGAGCAGTGGCAGCTCGCTCTGGCGCTGCTGAGCGAGATGTGGAGGCTAAGATGGAGCCCGCCGTCATCAGTTACAACGCTACAGCGCTGGGATCAGCGCGTGCGCGAAGGGCGAGCAGTGGCAGCGGGCCCTGGCCCTGGTGTGCGAGATGCGAAAGGCGAAGCTGGAGCCCGCCGTCATCTCTATTAGAATGCACCGTTCACCGCTAGCCAAATGGGCGAGCAGTCGCCGTGGACCGGCTCCCTCTGGCGGCCACTGGCGCGGCCCGGGGGCTCCGGCGCGTTTCCAAGATGGCTTCAGAGCGCTCCGAGCCGCCCCTGGAGGCCCCCCCAAGAGGGCCCGAAGACGGCCGAAGACGGTCCAAGAAGGCTTCCGAGACGTTCCGAGCGCTCGGAGACGCCCAAGATGGCCGCTCGACGGCCCAAGAGGCTTCCAAAATGCTCCAAGTGGGCTCCAGAGAGAGCCCCAGGAGAGCCCGAACAAGGACAAATCGCCCCAATCCTGAGGGGAAACGTACATTTCGGGAGTTCCCGTGCTTTTCGTCAACGAAGCGTCCAAGACGGCCGCACAGGCCCTCAAGATAGATCGCCACAAGACGCCTCAGGAGGCTGCCAGGAGGGCCCCAAGACGGCTCAACACTGCGCCAGGACGGCTCCTCAGACGCAAATGGCGGCCAAGAGGGGGCCAGGACAGGTTGGGAGCGCTCCCGAGGGGCCTCAGTGGCCCCGGCGCGCGCTTCCAAGATGGCTTCAGAGCGCTCCGAGCCGCCCCCGGAGGCCCCCAAGAGGGCCCGAAGACTACCGAAAACGATCCAAGAGGGCCTCCGAGACGGGCCCCGAGCACTCGAAGACTCAAGTGGCCCCCAAGACAGCCCCACGGAGGCCCCAGGAGCTGCCCAACAGGCACCAGAGCAAGCTCCAATACGGCCCGCGACCCCCTGCATGGCCCCAGGACGGCCCAAGAGGCCCCCGAGATGGCCCAAGAATGCCCCGAAATGCCAAGATGCCCCCCCCAGAGGCTCCGGGGAGACCCCCACGAGGGCTCGAAGGGGGGCCGAAGGGAGTCCAGACGACGCCCTTCCCGCAGCCCCACTTTGCCAAGAACCCTCCAAGGACCACTCCCACATGCCCCAGAGCTCCCAGGAGAAACTGATGGTTCTCACGGCGCTCCCAAGACGAGTGCCTCGAGCCACGGCACCTTTTCGCCGTCTCTCGAACCCCAAACGCCCCCACGCAAGCCCCATACCCCCAAGGCAGGCCCCAGACCACTCCGAGGTGCCCCAGAGCCTCCCAAGAGACTCCGATAGTCCCCACAGGGCTCCTAAGGGCGGTCCCAGGGGGCGCTCCGAGATGCCCTAGAGTCGCCCACACGACTCCGACGCTTGCCAAGAGATCCTCGTCCCTCATCCCTCCTTCTCCACTACGGAGTGCGCGCGCGCGCGAAGCCCCTCGGCCAACCAAGAACCTTCTCCACTTGTGTTCCGCCTCCCTCTCTCTCGCCTCTCGCCCCCCCTCTACCTGTCGTCCTCCCATTCCTCCCTCCTCGACCTACCTTTCCTCCTTCTCCCCCTCCGCTCCTTTTCTCTTCGCTTACTTCCCCTGATCCTCCTGCTCCTTCGTATATTCAAACTTCCCCGCCTCAGCAGACACCCCCTTCTCATCCTCCTGCCCATCCTCGTTGTCCACCTCCTGTTTTCCTTTCCTCGTCGCTCAACCTCATCCCCCTTTGGCTCCTCACCATGATCCTTTCGCGTCCGCATGACCATCCTTCCCTTCCTTTGGCTTTCCTCCCCCCTTTCTGGCGCCATCTTTTCCCCCCCTCCGCGCGTCCTCCCCGCTCCGCCCTCATGCGCAGCCGATTTGGCTCAAGCCGGTCGAGGCTCACGGTCGAGGCCCCGGTGCGCGGTAAGAAGCGCACCGCGATCCGCCATGGCGGAGGTGGCGGCGGACGAGGTGCCCCAGGCCGAGAAGGACGAGCTGTTCTGCGCGTACGCGGCGATGATCCTCAAGGACTCCGAGCTGGAGGTCTCGGAGGAGAACCTCACGACCCTCATCAAGGCCGCCGGTGGCTCCATCGAGTCCTTCTTCCCCGCTCTGTTCGCCAAGATGTGTGCAGGCAAGGACTTGGATGACTTCCTGAAGTTCGGCGGCGGCGGGGGGGCTCCGGCTGCCGGCGGAGGCGGCGGCGGCGGAGGTGGCGATGCGCCCGCGGCCGACAAGAAGGAGGAGAAGAAGGTCGAGGAGGAGGAAGAGGAGGAGGACGTGGACTTCGACCTCTTCGGCTGAGGGCGCGTCGCTTGCCCGAGGGGTTCCTGGGTCTAAAATCTCGCGCGAGCCCTCCTCTCCTCTCTCTGCCATCTCCCTTGCCTCTGCCGTCTCTTCCTTCGCTCTCTGCCATCACCTCAGAGGTCTAGGAGGTGGGACTTCTCAGAAGCCCTCGCGCCTGCAGAGAAGCTGCCTGTGTCTTTGGAGAAGGCCCAGAAAACTTCTCAGAAGGGGGGGGGGCCGATCCCTCTGAGGAGGCCCGCCCTTTCTCACCTCCCCCCCCCGGCTCGCCGCCGACTCACGGGGGGGGGCTCCCCCTCCCCCGTCCTGTCGCCGCTCCACGCCTGCGGCGTGCGTCGATCAGGCAGCGTAGATTGGATCGGACGACGAGGAGGAGGAGGAGGAGGAGGAGGAGGAGGAGGAGGAGGAGGAGGAGGAGGAGGAGGAGGAGGAGGAGGAGGAGGAGGAGGAGGAGGAGGAGGAGGAGGAGGAGAGAGTAGGAGGAGAGAGGAGGAGGAGGAGGAGGAGGAGAGGCAGGAGCTCCCTGCCTGCCCCCCCCCCACACCGCGGGGAGCCTCCGCGCTGCTCCTCCCGTGCTGCCCTCTGGCCACGGTTGGCTGGGGCGCAGGCGACCGCCCGCGGGGTGCCGCCCTCGGAGGCCCGTGCGCGGAGCCCCCCTGGGGACGGCGGCGGGCCCTCCACGGAGGCGCCTCCGGCACCGCTCCTGCTCGTGCCGCGCCCCGGGGAGGAGGAGGAGGAGGAGGAGGAGGAGGAGGAGGAGGAGGAGGAGGAGGAGGAGGAGGAGGAGGAGAGGAGGAGAGGAGGAGGAGGAGGAGGAGGAGGAGGAGGAGGAGGAGGAGAGGAGGAGGAGGGAGGAGGGAGGAGGGAGGAGGGAGGAGGGAGGAGGAGGAGGAGGAGAGGCAGGCGCTCCCTGCCTGCCCCCCCCCCCACACCGCGGGGAGCCTCCGCGCTGCTCCTCCCGTGCTGCCCTCTGGCCACGGTTGGCTGGGGCGCAGGCGACCGCCCGCGGGGTGCCGCCCTCGGAGGCCCGTGCGCGGAGCCCCCCTGGGGACGGCGGCGGGCCCTCCACGGAGGCGCCTCCGGCACCGCTCCTGCTCGTGCCGCGCGCCCGGGGAGGAGGAGGAGGAGGAGGAGGAGGAGGAGGAGGAGGAGGAGGAGGAGGAGGAGGAGGAGGAGGAGGAGGCGGAGCTCCCTGCCTGCCCCCCCCCCCCACACCGCGGGGAGCCTCCGCGCTGCTCCTCCCGTGCTGCCCTCTGGCCACGGTTGGCTGGGGCGCAGGCGACCGCCCGCGGGGTGCCGCCCTCGGAGGCCCGTGCGCGGAGCCCCCCTGGGGACGGCGGCGGGCCCTCCACGGAGGCGCCTCCGGCACCGCTCCTGCTCGTGCCGCGCGCCCGGGGAGGAGGAGGAGGAGGAGGAGGAGGAGGAGGAGGAGGAGGAGGAGGAGGAGGAGGAGGAGGAGGAGGAGGAGAGGAGGAGGAGGAGGAGGAGGAGGGAGGAGGGAGGAGGGAGGAGGGAGGAGGGAGGAGGGGAGGAGGGAGGAGGGAGGAGGGAGAGGAGGGAGGAGGGAGGGAGGAGGGAGGAGGAAGGAGGAGGAGGAGGAGGAGGAGGAGGAGGAGGAGGAGGGAGGAGGATCTCAAGCGAAACGACCGTCCGGGAATTGCCACCTGGGGCTCCGGCGTCGCCCCAAGAATGCGCACCGGGGCCCGAAATCGACGGCCTTCGCGAGCCCTCTCCTCGTCCCCTCCAGCGCTGGCGGTCTGTCCTCGAGAGCCGTCGCAGCCAGGGAGCGTCCGGACCCTCCAGGGGTCGTGGCCCCTTGCTAAAATCAAGTCGGGTCCGACGCTTCCGCCGCCAGCTCAGGAGCAGCAGATGGATGGCAGCACACCAATCCAATCAAATTCATCCTGACTCCCTCCGCCCTGCCCCGTCCGTTCCTCCCTCCCTCACTTCTGACAATTCCCTCCTGCCTCTCTTCTGCCTCGTTAGCCCCACATGCTTCCTGCCTTCTTGCAACCTCTTGGATCCCCTCTTCCTCCGTCTCGTCCTCTCTCCTCCTGGAGGCAGTTTCCTCAGTGGAAATGAGCCGTTTTAGGGGCATATGCAGAGGGAGCTTGCAGGGATGGTTAATTCCAACATCGTTGAGACTCTTGGGTTTACACTGGTCCTCCTCCTCCTCATCCTCCCTCCTCCCTCGACCACCAACTCCCATCCTTCTCTCTCCTTCCTCCCTCCTCACTCGTCGAGTATTCATGATCCCAACTCCCTCCTCCCTTCTCCTTCCTCGTGTGCCCCTCCTCCTTTGTCCCTCGTCCCGCCCCTCCCCTCTCTCTCTATATATATACTTCGTTATCGTTTTTGTGTCTCTCCCTCTCTCTCTCTCTCTTTTGTTGTTCTCTCTCTCTCTCTCTCCCTCTATCTCTTTTTTGTTGTCTCTCTCGTTCTCTCTCTCTCTCGCTCTCTCTCTCTCTCTCTCTCCTCCCTCCTCCTTCTTGCCTCCTTGGTCCTCCGCCGTGGCAGGTCCTCTACCTGCACCTTGCCTTCTTGTCCTTTTCCTTTCCTTTTTATCCTTTTCCGTCTCCTGATCCTCATTATCATTTCCCCGCCTCCTCAGCAGATACGCGCTCCTAATCCTTCTCCTAATCCTGGTTGTCCATCTCGTTTTCCCTGTCCTCGTCCTGTTCCTCCTCTCCCGCCCCCTCCTGACCATCATCCTCATCCTGCATCCTCGTCATCCTCATTGCCTGCCCTCACCATTCCCCTCATCATTCCCCTCCGCGCGTCCTCCCCGCTCCGCCCTCCTCTCCTTCCGCATCCTCCCCCTTCTGACCTCCGCACGCGCAGCCGTTGTGGCTCAAGCCGGTCGAGGCTCACGGTCTCAGAGGAGAGGCCCTCGCAGGAGGTAAGAAGCGCTTCGCGGTCCGCCATGGCGGAGGTGGCGGCGGACGAGGTGCCCCAGGCCGAGAAGGACGAGCTGTTCTGCGCGTACGCGGCGATGATCCTCAAGGACTCCGAGCTGGAGGTCTCGGAGGAGAACCTCACGACCCTCATCAAGGCCGCCGGCGGCTCCATCGAGTCCTTCTTCCCCGCTCTGTTCGCCAAGATGTGTGCGGGCAAGGACCTGGAAGACTTCCTGAAGTTTGGCGGCGGCGGGGGGGCTCCGGCTGCCGGAGGAGGCGGAGGTGGCGGCGGAGGTGGCGATGGACCGGCGGCCGAGAAGAAGGAGGAGAAGAAGGTCGAGGAGGAGGAAGAGGAGGAGGACGTGGACTTCGACCTCTTCGGCTGAGAGCGCGCCGTGTGCCCTAGGGGTTCCTGGAGTCTAGAAGTGGGTCTAAAGATGCGCGCGCGCCTCGAGGACGAGGGTAAAACCGTTCCAGAGAGTTCCAGAACGCTCAAAGAGTTCCGGAACGCTCTGAGAAGGCCGCGGCGCCCGAGAGATCTTCCAGAGCTCCCAGATCTCAGAGATTCTCGATTTATCCTCACCCGAATTTATCCTCGTCCTGGCGTCGTCGTACTCCCCTCTCCCCGCTATCCTCCTTGGATCTGCCTCCCCCTGGGCCAGCCTCGTGGCATAGTGGGCCCATCATTGTTTTTGTTAAGAGCCTCCTTCAAGCGAGTAGGAGGGTTTCTTGGACCGTCTCGGGCGCGAACAACTTACGAGCACTCGCTGGATCTGAATGCTTGTTATCATCTTGGACCAGCCCTGAGGGCTCCCAAGATGGCCCCGAGGTCTCTAGTAGTGCTCCAGTGCGGGACCCAGGGGGTATATTGGAGCAGATTATCGGACATCCAGGCGAGTGACACTCCACAGCTGGGGCAGGTGGGCGAAGCCGCTCCGACAACAACTTCCCCCTTCAGGTTGGTAAGGTCGAACCGGGTACATAAAGAATGGGCACAACAACCAACAGGAGAGCGGCCGTTGCCGGTGTTGGATAAGATTTGCTGACGGGTATCTTAACATTTTTTCCGTGCCCATTTCGGGCGTCCAAGTCAGGAGCGTTTCCCCTACGTCAGGCAAGCCCTCCCTGAGGATGGCCAAGGCGCTCCTGAGGATTCTGTCGCGTCTGGGAATTGAGGGGAGAAGCCATTCCGAGGAAGGGCTCAAGCATATTGTTTCTCTCCACGCAGGCGCCCCGCCCCCTGAACAGGCCCCTCCTCAAGACGGAACGCCAGGGAGGTGCACTGAAAATCTCGACCTCGCCCGCCGCCCGTCCGCCGTCCGCGTCCCTGCGCCATGAGACTGCTCCCAGGTCGCCTCTGGCCCGGCCCGACAAGGCGCGCCGTCTCGGGATCGATGGTCCTCAGGACGCGTATTAGCCCGATGTGTGTTTACCCCGTTCGCCTGTGTCGGCCATCGTGACACCATCCGCGTCGTCTTGAAGGGCTTAGGTGGACCACTTCACGTTGGCGCGAACTCACGTTCATCGGCCAGAGCAGGCCCCGCTGCTGCAGAACGCCCCAGGGAGTGGCATGCTGCCATGAGGAGGGCGCTGCTCGATTTGGTTGGCGAGGGTTGGGTGCCAGGAGCGCTGGCTGGAAGGGCCAGTCGCCCGCCTCACACACACACACACATTCACATCCACATATTCCACACACACACACCACAAACACCACAAACACAAACACACACACAATCACACACAGAAACACACACGCAAACACACGCATACACGCACACACTTGTTGGTGTCGCGGCCACGTGCGCCGGCGCGGCGCAGAGCAGGTCGAGCGACAGGCGAGCGCGGGCTGGCCCAGACCACGCGGCGCGCAGAGATTGGTGCACCACACGCACACAAGCACAAGCACAAGCACACACACACACGAGCACAAGCACAAGCACAAGCACAATCATACACAAACGCACACACACACGCGATTGGCATAGCGAGCTCGCGACTGCCGCGAGAGCTCCTGCCCGTCCTGCCACCATCCAAGCCTCTCGCTTTCTTCCTCCGCCTCCCTCCAGGTTTTGTGTGCTTGGGCTTGGACTGGCCAGCGTGCTCCCGCGCCGCACTTTCTTTGTAGATCGTGAGCGCCCACGTCCTTTACTGCTGCTGCTGCGCCTGCGACCTCATCCTCTTCGCGTTTCGACGGCCCCCACAAATCCTTCTCGTCCTTCTCCTCCGCGTCCACTGCCAACCTCGTTATCCTCCACGTCCTTCTCACCCACCGCAGATGTACTCGCCATGGTTTGACCACGAATGCACCCCTATTGCGGGTGCACCGTTTTCGTTGCTATGGCAGAGTACGGCACCCCCTGCACGGGCGCCTCGAGGTGAGCCTGATATGTGCCAGTGCGCTGGGATCCGCGTAGGCTGCCCTCTGCAAGTGCGGCGTTCCTCGGCGTGACGTCGTTTCCTGCCCCAGGGCTGCTGATGCTCGTGCGCCCAGTCCTCGTTCCCCACCTCCTCCCCCTTTTGCCTTCTGCTCTTTGTTGGAATCTGAGCACGGTCAAAAACCTTTCACGACGCGAGCACGTCCGGGCTTTTTCAAGCCACACCTCGGGCATCCAACGGCCGTTGGGACGTTCCGGGCAGCACTGGAACACCCTCGGCGGGGCGCAGCTGTTGGGAAGCATCCCGAGTTTGCAGAATCGTCGGGAGCCAACGAACATGTTCGAAAGAGCGCGTTCTGTCGACGCCTGGACGGGGAGGGGGGTCGAACCAGGCCTCTCCCTCCCCCTGAATTGCAAGTGAGCGGGGGGGGGGTGAACCGGCAGGCCCCCCACCCTATCTAAGAGGGGGATTTCAAACCGCCCCCCCCTCCGAATTGCAATGGGGGGATTCGAACCGGGCCCCCCCACTTCCCTCCCCAGCAGTGGCAACCGACGACGGTGAGCGCCGGCGCTGGCGCCGTTGGGCAGCGACGATTAACACGACGACGATCGAGCCTTCGTAGGATGCTCTTGAGATTGGGTCGGGCCCTTGTGAGATTCTATAAGATCTGGATCGACCCTTAAGAAAACTCATTCGAGCTTCATCTAGCGCATTAGGGCTGGATCGGGTGATAGTAGGATTTATCTAGAGCTGGAGCCAACCATAGTGGGATTCACTTAGAGTTGGATCGAGCCCGATTAGCATGCCATTGAAGTTGGATCCATCTATAGTGAGATTGAATCAGAGCTGGATCGGACCTGAGTGAGATTCACTTAGAGATGAATCCAGCCACCCCCCACCGCCCTCCCCGGTTTGACCCCCCCCATGGAGGGAGGTGGTGCCCGGTTAGAGAAGCCGATATTTTGGGAGGGACAGGGGGGGAGGGGTTCTCCGGGCGCGCCGCCAGAGGTGCGGCCCGCCCCCCGGTTCCGGCGTGTTCAGGGTTCTCTTCGCGGCAAGCGTCCACAGCACGGGCTCCCTTCAGCGTCCAGAGACCTCTTTGGAGTCGACGCCCGGAGCCCGAAGGGGTCTGCCCCCCCCCCGGGGTGATTTGTTGTCCACGACGCGAGCCTCACCCCACGCGCGCGCTGCTCTCCGCAGCAGCTCAGAGCGTGAATTACCTACCCCGCTTTCGCTTCCAGGCAAAACCAAGTCATAAGTACCACGCGCCTCCTCGTCAAGCGGCCTGACCAGTACAGGCCGTAGTTTGGCATCGCTTGGTGTCTCTTGGAAGCGAGGGTGGTCAAAAGCGAGGTAAGTTTGTTTGCCCCCTCAGCCATTCGGGGCGCTTGTAACCCACTTATTAGCCAGGTTGGGCCATATATAACCCACCTTGGCATCCACGCGTAACCCCCCTATCCACTTGATAACCCCCACGGTCATCCCAGCGCGCGCGCGCTGCCCTCCGCAGCAGCTCGCCCGCGGTCGGGCCATCGGCTGCCCGGGGGGCGCCGCGGCCGCGATGGGGGCGCCCGCGCAGGCCGGCGCGGCCGCGCCGCCGCCGGAGGGCGAGGCCCTCGGCCCCCGAGGCGCGGAGCGGGCGCGCAGCTGCCCTCCCAGGGTGTCCGCGGTGGTGGGCCCGTGTTCCACCACCACCACCATCAGTTGGAGGGGGGAAGGGGGTGGAGGACGAGGAAGTGGAGGACGAGGCGGAGGAGGACCTAGAGGAGGAGGAGGAGGAGGAGGAGGAGGAGGAGGAGGAGGACGAGGACGAGGACGAGGAGGAGGAGGAGGAGGAGGACCTAGAGGGAGGAGGAGGGAGGAGGAGGAGGAGGAGGAGGAGGAGGAGAAGGAGGAGAGGAGGAGGAGGAGGAGGAGGAGGAGGAGGAGGAGGAGGAGGAGGAGGAGGAGAGGAGGAGGAGGAGGAGGAGGGAGGAGAGGAGGAGGAGGAGGAGGGAGGAGGAGGAGGGAGGAGGAGGAGGAGGAGGAGGAGGGAGGAGGAGGGAGGCGGGAGGAGGAGGAGGAGGAGGAGGACCCCCTCCCCCTCCAACTTCTGGTGGTGGTGGTGGTGGAAGACAGGCCCGTCACGCGGGGGTTGCTGAGGGGATGAATTTGCTGAGCCCCTCCGCCGCTGTGTCTTTCCTCCGGTCCTCGCTCGTTCGCCTTTTTTCTCTGGCCTTCGCTCGGTCCCGGTGCTGCAGTGGGAGCCAGCGCTTTTGATTCCAAACCACGTCCAAGCACAGTGTCGAGGGGATAGGTGGGCTTTGAGCAGATGCCACGGTGGCCAATTCTGACCCAACCAGGCTTATCAGTGGGTTGCAGGTGCCCCAAGTGGCTGAGCGGGGTCAGCGATCCAGGCTGAGCGGGCTCCGCCCACTTAGCGGACTTATCTGACCCCCGTAGCCACTCGGGGCACGTGTAACCCACACATAAGCTAGGTTGGACGAGATCCAACCACCTTGAGATCCTCTCATACCTCCATCTCCCCTCATCAAAGGCCGCGGTGATCCCAGTCGCGCCTCTCAGGCGTGTTGTTGGAGCCGTTTGGGGGTCTGAGGTGGCCCAGCACTGCTTCTGGCCAGCAGGAAGGGCGGGCAGGTTCGAGGTTCTGGGTTCGGACATGGGTTTTGCCTTTATCGGCCTTTGGGGGCCGTTTTCGGGCCCTGGAACCGGGAAGAACGGATCCGGGGTGAAAGACTGCTCCAGATGGACCCCTCCCGGCAAGGGTTCGGCAAGGAGCAGGCGAAGGACGGCACTGTGGGGGCTTTCACCACCTGCATCACAGCCCCACGCGACATGTGCGAGCAACTCCTACGGAACTCGGGACACGCCAGCATCTTTTTCACGATGCTCGCAGTAGATCGGCTCGCGGTCAAGACCAACACGGTGGAGTGGATCGAGAGACCGGAGAGCTCTACGAACATGCAATACTACAACCACGTCAAGGCCGCAGCAGCCCGCCTTGAATCCAAGCCCGCCCTGGTCCACCGACGCGGCAGCGACCAGTGTCTCGGCCTCTTGAAGACCGGCGACCCCAAGACATCGCCGCCATACATTTGGAGGGCCACCGTCCCCAAGTGGTGGGATGCGGACACCCTCATGAGCTTCTTGACCGACAACGGGTGGACGGAACCCGTGGCGCAGGTCCAGCTGCGAGGTGGGACCTGGCGGATCCGGTGTTCAGCTCGCCCAGATCTCGCCACATCCTACATCTACAGCCTCGGCGACTCAGACACCGTGCGCCTCCTACCGGCGGTCCGGGCCCTCGTTCAGCCCACGACCGTGCAGGTCCGCTCCAGGCCGGTGTTCCCGTGGCTGGAGCCCCGCCAGACCAACGCCGCGAACCCAGGCAGAGACGGCGGCGAACCCAAACAACCACCAGGCGCCGGGGCAGCAGCAGCACCCGACTCCAAGCCTGAGCGACATGGACCAGAGCACCAGCGAGAAGCGGCCTCCTCCACGACAGGGCGTCGAGGACCCCAAACGCCGTCGCACCGCTGACGGCGGCGTGACCTTCGACTCAGCAGCAGGGCCCTTCGCCGGTCTGTGCACCGTGGAGGCTGGCGGGCGGGGCGCGTGCGGGTACGCCTCTCTTTGCGCGGCCTACCGCCTCCGCAAAAAGTGCCAGGAACAAATCGAGGTTGAGGCAATGCTCAAGGAAGCCCGCTCCCTCCGGGCCAAGACCGTCGCTGAACTATGCACCCATAGGCCCGTCTACGAGGAGGTCTTCGCCCCCGAACCCGACGAGCCGCAGACGTGGGAGGCCTACATCGGCGAGTGCCGCAAAACTACCACATGGATCGACGAGCTGCAGCTGTTGGCCGCAGCCGCTGTCCTGCAGCGCACGGTATGCGTCTGCTGGCGCACTGGGCCGCTCGAGCGCTGGAGCTGGCGCACCTTCCACAAAGACTTCGCGAGCACGGGCGTCCTCGTCATCTACTGGGACGGCAGCCACTACCAACCGGTGCGACCCCCCTCGGCCAACTACTCCTGGCCGGAGTCGCTCTTGTCCGACAACGGGTCCGTCTTCCCACGCAGGGGGCGGGGCGGCGCCGCACCCTCCGACGCCTTGCCGGCAGCCCCTGACGAGGCCGCCTCCTCGGCCCCGACCTGGATGGACCCACCGTCCCGCTCTGGCGACTCACGCCTCCACGGCGAGGCTACGGCCCCGTCCCTGCAGAGTTGGATGGGCCCTGGCACGCCCCACGACCCGAACATCGCCGCAGGCAAAAGGTGGAAGCAACACCACCGCGACGACGCCGCGCTGTCGCCTCCCTTCTGGATGGACAGCGTCACGGGCAGACCGCCGCCCACGACTACCACCGCTCCAAGGGCAGGGCCCTCCCCGGCCCCGGCCCCATCCGACAGTCGGGCACCCGTGCCTGGCAGTGAGGCAGCAACTGCGTCGACGGCGCGCCTCCGCCTCCGACGCAAAACACCGACGACCGGCACCCGCGCCTCCGCCGCCGCCCCCACCGCCGAAGCCACCCTGGAACGCACGAAGGGCGCCCTGGACTTCGAGAATGCCGTGTACCACTGGACAGAGCAGTTGCTTACTAAACGCGCATGCCGTCTCCCACCGACGCCGGCACAATACAACAAGCTAAAGTTGCCGCTCTTGCTTGGCTCGACTCCCACCCCGGAGAAGAGGTGGCGCCAGCGGCCAAAGCCTTCTACGACACCATACGAGACGTACGATATCGGTACGCTCGCCCTGGCGACGGCAACATATGCGATCGATGTGGATGGGTCCCACCAACAGGCATTGCTCCGAGGGCCGCCAAAGGGCTCTTCCACCACCACCGCCGCGACTGCCGCGGCTGCACGTACAAGCAGGCAGAATCCGACAACAAGCTCGGCCCGGATGCGCGTCGCACCGTGGCGGCCTTCCTGCAGAAGAACAAGCAGGCGGCCATACAGGCGGGGCACGAGCGGAACCTGCGTCAGAGGATGGCTCGCGCCCCCGAGGCTCTCCAGAACGCCGCCCACGACCTCGACACCACCGTGCCGTACTTCGTCTCCGAGTCCGGCGTCAACAGGTACAAGTTCCAGTGTAAGCACTGCCACCGGAAGATGAAGCGTGCCGACGCCTTCTGTGACCCGTGCGTGCAAGCACCAGCACCCATCAGCTTCCAGGAGTTCCACCTGTTGCTCTGGAAGCATGGCCTTCGACATCAGGAAGTGCAGACCGCCGAGGCCCTCAAGGCCAAGGTCGCACGCTGGAGGCCGCACTCTCTGAGGTGAAGGTGCCCGCGACGGTCATGCAGGCCCCGGGTTTGGTGGACCCACGCCTGCAGGGTCGGCGAGGCGGCCAATCCAGGCCCGCCTGCGCACCGACGCCGTTGCGGGAACCACCGACACGCACCCACCACTACAGGCGACGACAGTCGCACACAGCAGCTCACCACTCCCACTCCAGCTTCCGACATCGGCCCGTCCCCCCACAGAGGGGCCCGCCAGGTGGCGGTCACGGTCTGGCACTCGAACGTGCAGGGGGCCCCGAACCAAGACGACCTCAGGAGTGCTCTACGACACGCGACCCGCATGGACGCCGACGTCGTAGTGCTCACAGAGACTCACTGGGACGAGACGCGTGCGAAGGAGCGCGTATCCGCGCGCAGCAAGTTCGGCCACGCATTCGCAACGGCCTCTCACACGACCACTCCGAACACAGCGGGCGTGGCCATCTACGGTCCAGCAGGCATGCGTCGCGATCCATGGTGCTGGCCCACCTCCCTACGAGGCTGGGTAGCATCAGCAGTGCTTCGCGCCGGCTCAACGGACGTCTTGATCATCGGAGTGTACGGCCACTCCGGCACCAAGCGGGCATCGAAGGCCGGCAGGGCCGCTCTCGCAGATGCTCTCGCCGTGCGCGCTGCTGCCGCCGACCTACCCACAGTCATGATTGGGGATTGGGATGCCCCGCCAGACGACGACGACTATTCTTCCCTCGCGGACTTCACCATCGACCACCGAGTTGTGGGCCACCTGGATGCCCCCACGCATACTGGCGGCAGGTGCATCGATTATTCACGCAGCCGCAGTTTGACGACACTCGATGCCAAGCTCGGCCCACCTGTCTCGGACGAGCTTTCAGCCAAGAGTCCATCCGACCACGTCCAACACTGCACGGAGTTCGCCGTGGGCGCCGACGCCGACGTCACCTCCCTACGACGCCACCACCCGCTGGCACCTCCCGCCTCCAAAGCCTTGTGGTTGGAAGCATGGGAGCGCGCGGCCACCACCACGCGCCTCGCCGAGGCGGCGGCCGGGCACGACCCGAGCACGCATTGGCAGGCTTGGTCGGACACCCTGGAGCTCAGCGCCGGCGTCCCCCAGCACAGCCTCACCAGGTCCGACGGCGACGACGTGCGGCGATGGACCAAGGTGTGGAAATCTGCCGCGGACCACGCCAACACCGAGGAGCACCGACAGCCAGTCGCAGAACGGCGACTCCGACGCGTCTACCGGCGCCTCCTGCAGTACGACAACATCCAGGGCGAGGACGCGGCACTCAGCGCCTCCCTCGCCAGGAGCCTCGGCTCCCTGGTTTCCGACGGCTGTATTCCCCACCCGGCCACTTACGACGACGCCGTCTGCAGCGTTCGACGGGCCATCCGGGCCTTCGAGGAGGAGGTCATCCAGTCCCGTTTGAACCAGTGGAGAGAGACACCAACAGCAGCATCATTCCATGACGTCTGCCTACGCCTACGTCCGCAACGCAGCCAACGCCCCCCCCGCGGCCGCAACCGATCCAACCTCGGGCCGGCTCTCCGGGGGATGCGCCGCCAGCATGACCGCAGCCAAGCGCGCCTGGGACGCCAAGATGGCCGCTCCCCCAGACACCTCCAGTCTCGACCAGTATTTCGCCGAGGCCGCCAGATACGTGGCCCCAGTCCGACCGTGCGTGGAGTGCGGCGGAAAGCGGCACCTCGAGTGGGACAGGTTCACCGTTGCAGGCCTCAAGGCGGCAGCATGTGGTTGCCGGGGCACCGCGGCCGGGCCCGCGGACTACGACGCCGATTTCCTGCTCTCCATGCCCACGCCTGCGTGGCAGCACCTGGCGGACCTCGCTGACATGATCATGGGCGCGGGCATCTGGCCGGACGCGCTCCGCGCGCAGAACGCGACCTTCATTCCGAAGATCTCCTCGCAGGGCCTGCGCCCGATCGCCGTCATCCCCGTCGTCACGCGCACCCTGTCGAGGTGCCTTGTTCAACATTACCGTTTCTGGACCGCCAGGGTCCAATCTACAGACGCGGTCGGGCAGCTGCTCCGGTTCGAGGCCGCCGTCACCGCGCGCATAGCCGACAACCTCCCGACAGTTGCACGCACCAGTGACCTGGCCAGCTGCTTCAATCACATCGACCCGTCTTTGGCGGAGCGAGCGGCGCTTCTTCACGGCATGCCGGACACGCACGCTCATTTCCTCTTCGCCGTGAACGTGGACAAGCCCACAATTCTCCGTGGTGGAGAGTGCGCCATGCGCGCCCCACCGCCAGACAACGGTCTTGCACAGGGCGACCCGAGCTCTCCGCTGGGAGCGGCTGTGGTCGCCGCCACGCACAAGGCAATCTTGAAGAGCACAGTCGACGGCCTGCAGTACTTCGACACGTACGTCGACGACAGGACGGCCCTGACCAACTCTTTGGAGGCAGACCGACATTATACCCAGGAGGTGGCACGTCTGGACCGCCTCACGGGACAACGCGAAGATCCCAAGAAGGGCTCTATGGCGGCGGTCTTCCTTACCAACGGCACCGACCGCGCCGACAGCACCCTCCCCCTCCCCCTCCCCCTCACCAACAGTCGCGCCGACAACCACATCGACACCGACATCGAGGTGCTAGGCATCGTTTTCGACCTTACTGGATCCCGCAACCCCCGCAGCGGCCCGCGCACCGAACGGAGGGCAGGGGAGCTCCAGGAACGACTCCGACGCATCGCCAGGATCGCCAAAGCTGCCGGGCTCGGGGCCCGGAGGCGCATGGCCATGGTGAGAGCAACCATGTCCTTGTGGCGCTGGGACGCTGCGTGGGTCATGGCCGACGACAGGGACCTGCACAGCATGCGCTGCGACATAGAAAAGACCATCACCGGGAGATAAAGACATTGGGCATGGAGGCACGGCGGTGCTGTCTGGCTCACCACGGACAAAGGATGGCTCGTGGAGCCCTTCGCGGTGCAGTTCTCGGTTATCATCCGGTGTCTCGTGGAGGCGGCGTGTGGCGAGGACACCGCGCGCACCGTGGAGCGAGCCTGGACCCACCTGCACGAGCAGGGGCAGCACGGAGGTCGTGCGGACGGATCGTGGAGCTATCGCCTGGCTGCCCGGATCCGGCAAGTCGTCTCCCGTTTCTGGCAGCCCACAGACAGTCCATGGAAGTACCATTTCGACCATCAAACTTTCGATGTTCGACTTCTTCGCCAAGAACACCTGGACCACCACGTGCGCCAGGCATGGCGGGCATGGATTTGGACAGATTACCACCGACGGACGCTCCGCAAGGAGGCCGCCGGCCGCGTACCAGCGCCTTGCCACACGACCCTCTGCGAGTGGCTGAACGAGCACGCCGGGGCCGACCACGACCGGTTTGCTTTGGCACAGATGTGCGTGATGGCAGCCGAGCCCAACGCAGTGCGCCTTTCGCATCTGCATCCAGATTGCTTCTCGCGCACCTGCCCCACCTGCCAGGTGGACAACAACACCCACCACATGATGCACGAATGTCCGACCACGGAGCCGCTTCGTCGAGCGCACGGGCTCCATTTACCTCTACCACTCCCGGCCGACCTCTCTCAGGCCGAACGGAGCGCTTTCATGCTGCATGGTTGGCACGACCACCACCGCCCTCAACTTTGCACTTTGGCGTACCGGGTGCTCAACTACAAACTGGCGGTCTTCCGGCCGTGGCACGCCGCGTGGCTTGCAGCCGCCGGTTCCGGCCGATAGCAGCAACAATAATTTGATTGCATCTTGTGCATCAGCGACAACAAGTGATTGCATGTTCTGCATCCTCTCAACAAGTATGCGCTTGTCGGCGCCTTCTTTCAACTATAGTGTTTTCCTTTTTTACTACTTCGAGGACATCAGACATCCTGTTGCAGTCAGAGCCGGCGGGGACCGATTTTGAGTGGATTTGGCTTCCCCCCCCCCCTCCTGACGGATCTCCTGAGGCCCCTGCCAGTTCAGACCCCCTGGCCGCCTCCAAACGTGAAGTAATTCGGCACGATCGGAATGGTTACGGAGAGGATTGTACGTCCATGTTGAACAGGGCTCGCTGTCGACGTCACCGCGGACGTTGAGGGGCGGCTGTCCAACAGCGGCCGCTTTCGGCCTTGGATCACAGTTGTCGGTGGGCACATTTCGAGCGTCTACATGTAATTTTGGGGCGATGATGACAGTCCAGGGCGCCTCAAGAGGGTCCCCGAGGGAGACCGCGAATCGACATATCGCGCTCTCCGCCCTTTAACGCCCCCAAGAGGCCCCAGGCGGCTCCCAAGAAGCCTCCAGGAGGCCCCAAGAAGTCCCCAAGAAGCCCCCCAAAACCCCAAGCAGCTCCCAAGAAACCCCTGAGAGGCCCCAAGAAGTCCCAAGGAGGCCCCCAAAGCCCCAGGAGGCCATCAAGAGGCACCCCAAGAGCTCCCCCCAGACGCCCTGAGGCACTCCTGACGATCCTCGACGCCGTCCCATCACTGAGTGCCAGTTGCATCTCGTGTCTTGCTCGCGGGACGACTCTATGGTTTTGTTTGCGCGTCGTCGTCTGTGGTGAGAACTCTAGACGCTTCGCGTAGCCCCGCCAGTTAGGCAGCTTAGGTTCGGCCGTCGGTTCCCGTGCGCTAGGCAATTTGGCTCGCGCGTAGACCGCCCGACCTCTGACGCTGCTGGCACGCTCGCCTGCGGCCGCGACGAAAAACATAGCCCCGCCAGTTCATCTAGAAACGAGGCCCAGACGATTTGACATGATCAGGGATGTGGAGGAGAACGAAGCGGACAAAACATGCGTGCAGCAGGCCGATGAGAAAGAGGAGGAGGAGGAGGAGGAGGAGGAGGAGGAGGAGGAGGAGGAGGAGGAGGAGGAGGAGGAGGAGGAGGAGGAAACGGAGGTGGAGGAAAGGCGAGCAGAACGGCTAGAGGCCTCTTGGATGCCTCTCGGATTCTCTTCGGATTTGGTTCGAAAGCTTCTTGGGGTCATCTTGGGGGTTTTGGGGGTATCTTGGCAGCCCCATCGGCCTCTGGAGGCGCCTTCGGTGCTTCTGGGGGCCTCTTGGAGCCTCTTGAGGAACTCTTGGGAGCCTCTTGGGGGCATCTTCGGGGCATCATGGGGGCCTTTGAGCCTCCTGGGCGCCTCTTGGGGCCGCCTTGGGGCTCCTTTGGGAGCCTCGGGGGCCGTTTTGGGGCCATCTGGGAGGACATCGATCCATGGAGGGGGGCTCCTTTCTCAGTGTCCCTCACCAGGAGGCCCACATGTGGCCAAAACTTTATATCAATCAATGATTTGGCCTTCTCTCCGAGGCCTTTTGGGGCGTCTTGGGTGCCTCTGGGGGGGCCTCTTGGAGCCTCGTAGGGGCCTCTCGGGAGCCTCTTAGGGACATCTTGGGGGCCGTTTGGGGGCATCAAGGGGCTTGTCGGGCACCCCTTGGTGCCCTCTTGCTTTGGGGCCATATTGGAGGAGAACGACCATAAGAGGGGCCGTATTATATTGGAGCCCCCCCCACCCGGGAGGCCCAAATGCGGCCAAAACCCTCGTCCAGGGATGTGGGGTCCACCGGTCGCCCCAGCGGCAGGGTCCGCATGCGTCAACGCCACCCATGACAGCGCCTCGTGGCCCAATAGGAAGTTCCGCCGGAGGCTGCAGTGGCAGGGTCCGCATGCGTCAGCGCCACCCAGAACACCGCTTCGTGGCCCCATAGGGAGCTCCACCGAAAACTCCAGTGGCAGGGTCCGCATGCGTCAACGCCACCCATCGCAGCGCTCCGTGGCCCCATGGGGAGCCCCACCGAAAGTTCCAGCGGCAGTGTCCGCATGCGTCAACGCTGCCGAGGACAGCCTTCCGTGGCCCCATAAGGAACTCCACCGAAAACTCCAGTGGCAGGGTCCGCATGCGTCAACGCCACCCAGGACAGCGCTTCGTGGCCCCATGGGGAGCCCCACCGAAGGCTTCAGCGGCAGTGTCCGCATGCGTCAACGCCACCCGTGTAGGCGCACCCATCACACGGTTCGTGGCCCCACAGGGATCTCCACCGAAGGCTACAGTGGCAGGGTCCGCATGCGCCAACGCCACCCAGGACAGCGCTTCGTGGCTTCATAGGGAGCTCCACCGATGGCTGCAGTGGCAGGGTCCGCGCGCGCCACCGCCATCCATCGCAGCGCTTCGTGGCCCCATGGGGGGGCTCCACCGAAGGCTCTAGTGGACCGTCCGCACGCGTTTCCCCGACCCAGGGCAGCGTTTCGTGGCCCCATAGGGAGTTCCACCGAAGGCTCCAGTGGCAGGGTCAGCATGCGCCAACGCCACCCAGGACAGCGCTTCGTGGCCCCATAGGGAGCTCCACTGAAGGTTCAAGTGGCAGGGTCCGCGTGCGTCAGCGCCACCCAGACATCGCTTCGTGGCCTTATAAGGAACTCCACCAAAGGCCCCAGTGGCACCGTTCGTATGCGTCTCCCCCGCCTAGGAAAGCGCTTCGTGGCCCCAAAGGGAGTCCCACCGAAGGCCCCAGTGGCACCGTTCGCATGCGTCTCCCACACCCAGGACAGAGGTTCGCGCCCCCATCGGGGTTTCCACCGAAGGTCCCAGTGGCGCCGTTCGCATGCGTCCCCCCCGCCCAGGGCAGCGTTTCGTGGCCCCACAGGGAGCGCCAACGCAGGTCCCAATGGCGCAGTTCGCATGCGTTTCCCCCACCCAGGACAACGCTTCGTGCCCCCCCAGGGAGCTCCACCGAAAGCGGTACCTACAATGCGGCACTCGCAGCTCCATTTGGTTGGGTCCTTCGTCAGGCTACTTGTTGTGATTGCCCTCGGGCCCCCCCCCCCGTTCGTCACGACAGCTGGACGTGGCTCGAGAGACTGGCCAGGATGGACCGGGTGGGAGGGGGGCGGAGGAGGAGGAGGAGGAGGAGGAGGAGGAGGAGGAGGAGGAGGAGGAGGAGGAGGGAGAGAAGGAGGCGGAGGAGGAACTTAGAGCGGATGTGTGCCCGGTGCAGAGGCGGCCTTGTAAGGGGACCCCGGGCTGGCAAGAAGCCCCGAGGAGTTTTTCGGGAGCTTCTTTGGGAGGGCTGAGCCCAGACATCCGCCGTTTTTTTTGTTTTGCCACTGCGGGGCCCCCCAGAAGTCCAGCCGTTCTTCCCAAAAGTGTTTGTTTCCCAACCTTCCTGTGGTGTTGGGTCCTCGCTTTGAGGACACAGCGCCCCGCGTCCTCACTCCTTCCGCTGCCCTCCTCCTCCCATCCTCCCCCCCTCCTCTCCTCCCCTACTTTGGCATACCCCTCACACGCTTCGTGGCCCCATAGGGAGCCCCACCAAAGGCCCAAATGCCAGCGCTCGCATGCCCCCACCGCACCCATTTCGACAAACCCCTCACACGTTCTGTGGCCCCATATGGAGTTCCACCGAAGGCCCCGATGCCAGCGCTCGCGTGCGCCCACCGCACACATTTTGGAACACCCCTTACACGTTTCGTCGCCCCATAGGGAACTCCACCACAGGCCCAAATGCCAGCGCTCGCATGCGCTCGCCGCACCCGTATTGGCACACCCATCGCACGTCTTGTTGGCCCCACAGGGAGCTCCATCGAAGGCCCAGATGCCAGCATTCGCATGCGCCCACCACACACCCATGTCGGGCGGGACACCCCTCGCACGTTTCGTGGTCCCATGGGGAGCCCCACCGAAGACCCACTTGCCAGCGCTCGCATTGGCCAACCGCGCCCGGATTCCCCTCACACGTTTTGTGGCCCCACAGGGAACTCCACCACAGGCCCAGATGCCAGCGCACGCATGCGCCCAACGCACCCATTTTTGGAACACCCCTCAGACGTTTCATCGCCCCATAAGGAGCTCCACCGAAGACCCACTTGCCAGCGCTCGCGTCCGCCCACCGCGCCAATTTTGGGGCACCCCTTTAATTGTTTGTTGGCCTCATAGGGAGTTCCGCCGAAGGCCCAAATGCCAGCGCTCGCACGCGCCCGCTGCACCCATTTTGGCACACCCCTCACACGTTGCGTGGCCCCATAGGGAGCTCCACCGAAGGCACGCATGCCAGCGCTAGTGTGCCCGCCGCGCCCATTTTGGGCACACACACACACACACACCCCACGCGCTTCGTCGCCTCATAGGCAGGCCCAGCTGCCAGCGCTCGCATGCGCCCACCGCCCCCAGTTTGGCACACCCTTCACGTGCTCCGTGGCCCCATAGGGAGCTCCACCGCATGCGGCGCATACGACGGCAGTGCGGTCTTTTGCCAGGCTATGTGGTTTCACTCCCGGTACTTAGTTGTTTGCCGGTCTGGGGGCCTGCGAGGGCCTCCAGGTGCCGAGTACAGGGAACCATCTCCGTCGTGTTCCCAACCATCCTGTGGTGTTGGGTCTTCGTTTTGAAGAGACATTCCCCGCGTCTCTTCCTCCTCCTTCTCTCCTCGTCCTCCCGCTCCCCCCTCCTCCCGACCTTGCCTCTGCCCTCCGCATGTCCTCACCATCGTCGTCGTCATCATCATCATCGCCATCACCTCTCCTCCTCTTTCAAGTCTCTGTTTCGGCACAACCCTGACACGTTTTGTGGCCCCAAAGGGAGCTCCACCTAAGGCCTCAGTGGCTACGCTGCGCCCGAATGCCGCCACGCCCGTCATTTTTGCACACCCCTCACACGTTCCGTGGCCCCGTATTTAGCTCCACAGAAGGCCGCAGTGCCTGCACCCGCATGCCCCCCCCCCCCCACTCACTTTGGCACACCCTCACAGGTCTCGTGGCTTCATGAGAAGCTCCACCGAAGGCCCCAGTGGTTGCGCCCGCATGCCGCCACCCCCCCTCACTTGGGCACATCCCGCACAGGCTCCTTGGCCCCATCGGGAGATCCACCGCAGGCCACAGTGGCTGCGTCCACATGCCGTCCCCCGCTTCATTTTGGCAGACCCCTCACACGTTGCGTGGCCCCATAGGGAGCTCCACCGAAGGCCACAGTGGCTACACCCGCATGCCGCCACACCCTCACTTGGGTACACCCCTCACACGCATCGTGGTTCCATGGGGAGGTCCACCTGAGGCCCCAGTGGCTGGGCCCAAGTGCCGCCACCCTCTTCACTGTAGCAGACCCCTCACACGTTTCGTGGCCCCATAGGGCGCTCCACCAAAGGTCCCAGTGGCTGCGCCCGCAAGCCGCCACCCCTTCATGCTGGCACACCCCTCACACGTTTCGTGGTCCCATCGGGATCTCCACCGAAGGCCCCAGTGGTTGCGCCGGTATGCCGCCACGCCCCTCCCTTTGGCACAGCCGTCACACGTTTCGTGGCCCCAGGGGGAGCTCAATTGAAGGCCCCAGTGGGTGCGCCCACATGCCGCCCCCCCTCTTTTGGGCACACTCCTCACACTTGTCGTGGTCCCATAGGGAGCTCCACCGAAGGCCCCAGTGGCTGCGCCCACAAGCCGCCACCCCTCGTTGTTTTGGCACGCCACTCACACGTTCCTTGGCTCCACTTGGAGCTCCACCGAGGGCCCCACGTTCGTGGTTTCATCGGGAGCTCCAGCGAAGGCCCCAGTGGTTGCGCCCGCAAGCAGCCACCCTTTCATGTGGGCGCACCCCTTTCACGTTTCGTAGCCCCCATACGGCGCTCCACCTAAGGCCTCAGTGGCTGCGTTCGCATGCCGCCACCCCCTTCACTTTAGCAGACCCATGACACGTTTCGTGGCCCTTTGAGGAGCTCCACCGAAAGCCCCAGTGGGTGCGCCCGCATGCCGCCCCCCTCACTATGGCACACCCCTCACACGTCTCGTGGTCCCATAGGGAGCTTCACCGAAGGCCCCAGTGGCTGCGCCCGCATGCCGCCACCCCCTCCGATTTGGCACGCCACTCAGACGTTTCCTGGCCCCACAGGGAACTCCACTGAAGGCCCGGTGTGGGTGCGTTCGCATGCCTCCACCCCTTCATGTTGCACACCTCTCACACGTCTCGTGGTTTCATCGGGAGCTCCACCTAAGGCCCTTGTGGCTGCGCCCGCATGCCGCCACCCTTCAATTTGGGCGCGCTCGTACACGCTTCGTGGCCCCATATGGGGGCCCCACCGAGGCCCCAGTGGCTGCGTTCGCATGCCGCCACCCCCTTCACTTCAGCATGCCGCTCACACGTCTCGTGGCTCCATAGGGTGCTCCACCTAAGGCTCCTTGTGGCTGCGCCCGCATGCCGCGACATATTGATTTCTGCACACCCATCACACGCTTCGTGGTCCCAGAGGGAGCTCCACCGAAGGCCGCAGTGGCTGCACCCGCATGCCGCCCCCCTTTCAATTTGCACACCCCTCACACGCATCGTGGTTCCATGGGGAGCTCCACCTAAGGCCCCAGTGGCTGGGCCCTCATGCCGCCACGCCCCTCTGCGGCACAGCCACTCAAACGTTTCCTGGCCCCTCAGGGAACTCCACTGAAGGCCCCGGTGGCTGCGCCCGCATGCCGCCACCCTTTCATTTTGGCACAGCCGTCACACGTTTCGTGGCCCCATAGGGAGCTCCATGGAATGTCCCAGCGACTGCGCCCGCATGCCGCCACACCGCTCGTTTTGGCATGCCAATCACACGCTCCGTGGCCCTACAGGCAGCCCCACCGAAGGCCCCAGTGGCTGCGGTCGCATGCCGCCACCCGTAGGCTGGCGTGGTAGGGGGTCAGGGTCGGCTCCGGGCGCGGAATTGTCGGGTGGGGGGTCCCAAGAACAGAGCTCCCAGGAGGGCGCACTCTTACACGCTTCGTGGCCCCATAAGGGGCTCCACTAAGGTCCCAGTGGCTGCGGTCACATGCCGCCACCCGTTTCGTGGTCCCATCCGGAGCTCCAGCTAAGGCCACAGTGGCTGCGCACGCATGCCTCCACCCTTTCGTTTTGGCACACCCTGTTCTGACTGACCTCCGCGCCCACATGCGGGCTGCCCCAGCGGCAGCGCCCGCATGGTGGCCCCACCCCGTTTCGGCGTTTCTTCAGGCATTTCGCGGCTCCGTCGGGAGCTTCACCGATGGCGTTCTCCCACCGGCGGTACCCACAACTGGTGTTCTTCGCCCGGATTTGTTGGCGGGAAGGGGCCTACCATTTTTAAGACGCCCCTTGTTTAGGATGTAATGCTTGGGAGGTTGGTACTGAGAATCGGCGCTGGTACACCCGTCATCAGAAGCCGGCCTAACCCTGTTTAGTCTCGCCCAGTCCCGCCTAATCCGGCCAAGTCGGACTCAATCATGTGATTAACTTAGTCTCATACGGCTTGACCGCTTCTCAAAATGTATATTTTGGTGGCGAGTCATGGGAGCTTTGTATGCCATCGTCTTTAGAATGCACTAGCGTCGACTAGTGTCTAGTAGTCGATGATATTGCGCGCATGTTGCGTCGATTTAGCGTCGATTAGGGTCGATTGGCGTCTATACGCAAGAGCCGACAAGATGGTATGGGAGGTTCCCATGAATTGCCGCAGAAGTATCAGTAGCCTTTTCTCGGGTGGAACTCGCTGGAGGTTCAACTTTGACTGGGCTCTGGTACATCTCCTGTCGACAACTGGCCACATGCGGAGCAATCCCGCTTAATCTGGCCCTATTCCGTTGGATCCGGCTTATTGGCTTCGATTCAATTCCAGCCTTCAGCTGGCCTGATCCGGTTCTGGGGGCCGCTTGGTCAGGCCTAATCGCAGGAGTACCCCAGGAGCTGCCTCGTAAGATTTCGTCGTGCCCGCGATGACCTCCCAGCAGTCGCTCGGCGGCGAGCGAGAGGGGGAAGTGAGAAGGGGCGGGCCTTCTCAGAAGTCTCGGAAGTCCCCCGGCCCTCTGAGAAGTGTTCGAAGCTGTCCCCCGAAGCCAGGAGAAACTGTTCAGGAGGCGCGAGGGCTTCTGAGAAGTCCCGCCGCCTTCTGAGAAGGCCTTCTCCTTCTCATTTCCCCCCTCGCTCGCCGCCAAGTCGCCGGGATTTAGCACTAAAAAACAACGGGGAGCTCATGCATACATTTATTCATACATTAACCATGTATTAAACATCCTATATGTTTGAACATCCGATGTATTAAAAACTGCCCTGTAGAAGTACCCCAGGAGCTGCCTCGTAGGATTTCGTCGTGCCCGCGACGACCTCCCAGCAGTCGCCTCCCAAGAGCTGCCCGCGGCGCCCCCGTCGGCCAGGGCGCGACGCCTGGCCCCCCTGGGCGGACGCGCTGGAGGCGCGCCTCGCCCGCTTCCGCGGGGAGCTGGAGGCGGACCTCGGCCAGCGCTTCTTCGACCTCGAGGCCGCCGCCTCGGCGGCTCCTCCTCCTCCTCCTCCTCCTCCTCCTCCTCCTCCTCTCCTCCTCCTCTCTCCTCCTCCTCCTCTTTCTCCTTCTCTCCTCCTCCTCCTCCTCCTCTCCTCCTCCTCCTCCTCCTCCTCCTCCTCCTCCTCCTCCTCCTCCTCCTCCATCCCCCTTGGGGGGCGCCGTGGCGATCGCGAGATGATGGAGCTCCGGGCATGCTCGCGCCGTGCAGAGATGGCACCTGGAGGTGCTCCGCCGTCTTCGGCCTCCAGGGGCCCTCGCTGGGCCCCGGGACTGTGAGACAACGATCCGGGACGAGCAGCCCACCATGGGAAAGGGGTCGGGCCTTCCAGGGGCCCCCTCTTGAAAATTCAGATCGGGCCGGGCGAAAGGGGGGGATTGGGACGAAATTTGCTGCATGCAGCTGGTTTCGGCCTCACCGAGGGGCCCATTCCTCGATACATAGCCGCCTCCGGCGCCGGGAGGCGCCGGGAAAATCAGCTACGTGAGCTGATTCTCAAACCCCCCCTTTGCTATCCCCCCCTTTCGCCCGACCCGATCAGAACATCGGATATCTGGGCTGGGCGCCGTGGCGATCGCGACCTGATGGAGCCGGCGGAGAGCCCTCAGAGCTGGGTGTCACCAGAAAAGCATCGCGACGGCCGGTTCCGTTCGTGGACGAGGCCCGCCGGCAATATCCCCGCCCATTTTGAGCAGGAGCTGTTGTCGGTGTCGCCGCGGACGCTGTCCATTCGAGGCAGAAGGCCCCTTCCCATGAGCGGCAGCGGTCGGACTCGGGAAGCACTTGCGTTTTGGCATTGCACACATTCTCTGGTACATCAAGAGATAGCAAACCACCCCCACATCCACCACGATCATCTTAAAACCTTTCCTGGCAGGCCTGTAGATGTAGTCGACGCTCTCTGACGTCGAAAAGATCAATTCGCCAAATTGTTGGGGCCATGAGTCGTTTGATCGCCCAGTTCTCATGTTTATCAACCCGATTCTGCGTTTTATCGCATTCGCGTTTTCGTATACATGCCATGAGTTGATGGAGCTGGAGGGGGGGCCCTCAGAACGGGGCGTCGCCAGACACGCATTCGCGATGGGCATGTTGCCCCACATACAAGGTTGGTTTTTGTTTTCTCTGCACGCCTCCGCGCAGGTTTTTCCGACACCTCACCTCCTTTCCCGCCTCCGATCACCAGGTTCTCACACCCACCATCGCCAACCTGGCCATCATCATCGCACCCGCATTTTCATTTCGGTCATGATCACCATCGTCATCATCATCATCATCATCATCATCATCATCATCATCATCATCATCATCATTATCATCATCATCATTATCATCATCATCATCACTCATGCTTTCACGCTGGCCATCGCCATACCATCATAATCCATCGTCGTTACGATTTACGATCATCGTTCCCATATCACCATTCTTACAGTCATCATCATCATCATCAGCAGCAGCATCATCATCATCATCATCGCAATCATCCCCAACATCATCATCGCACACACACGCATACATTCATTTTAGACAGGGTTCCAGGCGGGAGCCTCGTTTTCGAGTGAGTTGCGAAGAGGTCTCGAGCGGAAGCCCCTCCCTATGAAAACCGCAGATCATATCACTAATCTGCACGAGCCTTCAGAACCTGCTAACTGTCGTCATTCCTGGGCTCCTCAGTCCTGTATTTGAAAGTTCTATCGGGCGGGAGCCTCGTTTGCGAGTGAATTGCGAGGGAGTCTCAGGCGAGAGTTTGCAGATCATGCTATCAATCCGGGCGTGTCATCAGAACCATGTGTTTGCCGTCACGTCTAGGTTCCTCAGTTTCGAATATGGCGGAAGTTTCGGACGGGAGCTTCGTTTGTGAGTGAATTGCGAGGCAGTCTCAGGCGGAAGCCCCTCCCCATGGGGCCCGCACACATATTACGAATCCGTGTGGGAGCCTCGTCTGGAAGTAATTGGAATAGAGTCTCAATCTCAGGTGGGCCCCCCCTTGTGGGGCCCGCAAATCATGCCGTTCATCGGGGGGCGCCGGAAATTTTTGTATTTGTCATCACTTCTGGGCTCTTGAAGCTTGAGTATTGAAACAGTTTGTCGCGGGAGCGTCGTCTGTGATTTAATGGCGAGGAGCTCTCAGTCGGAGTTCCCTTCAGTTTGGGGCCCGCAGCTCATGCTACCAATCCGAGCGGGTCATCGGACCTGATGACTGTCCTCACTTCTGCTTTCTGGAAGCTTGAATATGGCGGGCATCTCGAGCGGGAGCCTCGTCTGTGACTGAATGGCGAGGAAGTGCATGCGGAACATGCTGATCCTGCTGCCGCCCATGCGAGAGTTCCTGGAACGCGGGTCGACGGCTTCCCTCCGCCGCCCCAGTCAAAAAGCAATGCACAGTGATCGCGGGGTGCCTGCGCCCCCCGCCGTCCCAGTCAAAGGCCAATCGGAGGGGAACAAGGGGGTTGGAACACTCACGCCCTAACGAGCTTGTGGGATTATGGGGTTGAGAGGATGGGATTGGGATATATGATCAGATCACCCGTGGTATCGCGTATGCTGAAGGTGCTTAATTCACCGTCGTGCCCTGTATCTTGCCAGCCGCATCCTCCCAGCACGACAGCTGTTTTTCCCAAACAGGGGCCAGGGGGGGGGGGGGGTAGCAACGAGGGCCCTGCCCAGGCCCCAGCCCAGCCCTGCCTGGGCCCGAGCTTGTACCCTCGCCCTGGCCCTAGCCCCATGCCTAGCCTTGGCCCCAGCCTGGCTTCCCAGACATGCGACGTCCTGATTTTTTCAGTGCGGCGTCCCCGGAAGGCCCGACCCTTTTCCCCGGGGCCGGTTTGAACATTTTCAGCTTATGAGTCGTTTCTTGACGCTCCCCGGGGGCAGCGAGGGCCCCCCGGGGGTCGAACATAGCGAAAACATTACCGTTCGCATTTTTTTTGGCGACGTGATCACGTCTGGGTTTGCCTGGGCCCCGGCCCGGACAGGCGCAGGCAGGGGCCTGGGGTTATGATGTCCCAACCTACTTTAGCCTTGATCACCAGAAAGAGTTCGAGCACCAACAAAGTACCCCAAATCGAGGGCTCGACACTGTTCGACACCCTTTCTACACTCTTTCGACATTTTTCCGGGTGCTCGAAATTATTACTGGGTTCTGGTCCTTGAGTACGATTGGAACAACATAAGCCTGGGGCAGATCTCCGCAGGGCGACGGCCCGCCTGGCCCCCCCCCCCCGGCGGCTCTCCCCCCGAGGCGCGGCAGGAGGCCACCTGCGCCGAGCAGCGCCGGCTGTCCGGCCTGCTGGGGGCCGGCGGCTGGGCGCCTTCCGCGCTGGGCAGGAGCCGCTTTTTCTTCGCGGCCTCGCTTTTTTCTTCGAGGGACGAGGAGGAGGAGGAGGAGGAGGAGGAGGAGGAGGAGGAGGAGGAGGAGGAGGAGGAGGAGGAGGGAGGGAGGAGAGGAGGAGGGAGAGGAGGAGGGGGAGGAGGAGGAGGAGGAGGAGGAGGAGGAGGAGGAGGAGGAGGAGGAGGGGCAGCAGCCTCCCCAGACAGGATCGTGTCGCAAAAACAAAATTAGGGCGGCAAGGTTTCCGCTGCTTTCGCCCCCGGGGGGCCCTCGCCGTGCCCCGGGGCCGCGAGGAAACGACGCAGGGTGAAGAGCCGGCCCCGGGGAAAGGGTCGGGACTTCCGGGGTCGCCGCACTGAAAACATCAGGACGTCGCATGTCTGGGTCTCGAGGAGGAGGAATCGGCACGCAAGGTGTGGAGCCGAGGCGCATCGAAACGGCTGGGGCCTGCAAGCCATCGAGGGCACTCATCCGACCGAAGAGTCGCACGCATGGCACCGGGCCAAGACCTGAAGTCAGGGCAACACGTAGCACACCTCGCTCTCGCACCAATGGAGACATGTGGTAGATGTTTAAGACTGACCCCACCCCCACACGTGGCTAGATCCTCGAGGAGCTCCCTCGTCATCGCATTCCACTTGCCGTGGAATTGCCTGCCGAGGTCTGTGTCTTCTTCACGCTTCAAATCTGCAGCGAGGCATCGTATTTTTGGGTGCAGGACGGGGGAAGACTCGGACAATCTTCGGCACTATGGAACTTGCGACAGAATGAGGAGGATATTGGAACCCTGGTTTCGTGACGACATCCCTGAGCATGGGCATGATTGGTTTTCTCACCTCTTTTTTGACACCTCGCCTCAGCCCCGAAGCGGATTCCTGCAATGCTGTCCGACTCGGGAGTCGATTGCAGGTGCCGCTCCTGTGTTGAGGCGCGGATGTGTCTCCACTGCAGACGGCACGCCAACATGCAGCAGGCCTCGAGCAGTGGCCCACAGAGAGATGGTGATCCAATTTTGCCTTTGGAGCTCCGTGCTGCAACCGCACTGTCTGCGCCGCAAGGGGCTCGTGTCGCCTGCGAGGGCTCTGAGGCTCCTGACGGCTCCCCTGGGCGTTCCAATAAACGAGAGAGAGAGAGGAGGAGGAGGAGGAGGAGGAGGAGGAGGAGGAGGAGGAGGAGGAGGAGGAGGAGGAGGAGGAGGAGGAGGAGAGGAGGAGGAGGAGGAGCAGGAGGAGGAGGAGGAGGAGGAGGAGGAGGGAGGAGGAGGAGGAGGGAGGAGGAGGAGGAGGAGGAGGAGGAGGAGGAGGAGGAGGAGGAGGAGAGGAGGAGGAGGAGGAGGAGCAGGAGGAGGGAGGAGGAGGAGGAGGAGAGGAGCAGGAGGAGGAGGAGGAGGAGGAGGAGGAGGAGGAGGGAGAGGAGGAGGAGGAGGAGGAGCAGGAGGAGGAGGAGGAGGATGAGGAGGAGGAGAGGAGGAGGAGGAGGAGGAGGAGGAGGAGGAGGAGGGAAGAGGAGGAGGAGGAGGAGGAGGAGAGGAGGAGGAGGAGGAGGGAAGAGAGGAGAGGAGGGGAGGAGGGAGGAGGAGAGGAGGAGGAGGAGGAGGAGGAGGAGGAGGAGGAGGAGGAGGAGGGGAGGAGGAGGAGGAGGAGGAGGAGGAGCAGGAGGAGGAGGAGGGTTCAGTCAGCGGCCGCAAGAGGATCAGTCGGCCGGCGGTCGAGCCGCGGCGGGGCGCGCCCGAGGCACAGCTCATCAGGCACAGGGGAGCGCGGGGGCTGCCGCGAGGCGCTTGAGGCCAGAGAGGCCGCAGGGAGGAGCGGGAGCCACACCCAGGCTGTGTAGGGGGAGGAGGAGGAGGAGGAGGAGGAGGAGGAGGAGGAGGAGGAGGAGGAGGAGGAGGAGGAGGAGGAGGAGGAGGAGGAGGAGGAGGAGGAGGAGCAGGAGGGCTTCGTGTGCGCGCCGGGGTGCAGGCTCTTGACGTGCCAGGCGTGGACGCGTCGTGAAGAACTTACGACGGGAGGTTTTGGGGGACCGTCTTCGGCCCCCCATGCCGGGCCCCAGGACCGTCCACAAGACGACTCGGGAGGAAAAGCCGGCCCCCGGTGAAGGGTCCAGATGATCGGGGATCCCGCATTGAACAAAAATAGGACATCGCATGTGTGGGTCTCGGAGGAGAGAAGACGGCATCAGCACATGGCCCTTTTCGATCCGAGCGATCCGGTTCGGTCTCGATTTCGGCCTGCCTGGCCCGATCCGCTGCCGATGTTCTGGCGGTCCGGTGCTGTCTGGGGCTTGGTTTCCATGGCGTTGCTGTGCAATCCTGGCGCAGGCGATCCGATGCAATTTCGACTCCTTTCCGATGCAGCACCGTCCGATGCGCATTTCGGTTCGATCCGATTTTCCGATTCGAGGCTGGCTGGTGTTGTCAACAAAAACTCTCCGCGCGGACATATGCCCTGGGTAGGAGCCGTTTTCGCCGCTGGGTTTTCCAAATCTAGATTGCAAGGTGGAACAATTGGACCCAGGTTTCATTGTTGGGCATTTCCCTCCTCTCGTACAGTTCCGGCAGTCGATAACACCATGTGTCCGCACGGATGCCTCCCTTTTGCCTGCACGTCACGATTTTTTTTTCCGCTGTCGCTCGCCCCTGTCGAAGAACAGAAGCCAGCATCAACATACAGTTTGCGGAGCTCCGCACGGATCTCTTGGATCTGCGCTAGTCCCCCCTGGCGGCGCCTGCGGCGCCGTCCCTGGCGCGCTGCGCGCACCAGGGAAAGGGTCCAGTTCCGATCGAGGAGATTCGCGCGGACCTCCAGAAGTTTACGCTTATGCAGTGTTCCTTCTTCCACGTCATCCCCCTCGCCGTCTTTTTTAGTCGTGCTTTTCGCAGTCGTCCCTGACTTACCTTCACGAGGTGGTGCCAGCGGCGGTGCGCCATGGGTAGTCGTTTATCAGTGTGGCCAGTGCGCATATGACGTACGCGGTTTCTGTCTCTCTCTCTCTCTCCCTCTCTTCGTCTTCCGTCTCTCCTTCGTCCACGTCTTCATCCTCTCTCTGCGGAGGCCCTTTCGTGATGTCTTCGGAGGCGTCTGGTGACCTGCAGGGACTTGCAAGGACATCCTCTCTCGCGCTCATCAAAGACAGTGATTCCCTGGTGTGTTCGGCCGATTTTGCCATGGGTATTGCGGAGCTTGCGCCTCGCAGTGTACTGTTTGTGCGGTGCCACGATCGTCATTCGTTCTTGTCCATGGCTCGCAGTCAGCCATGCATCTGGCAGGTGAGATCCGCCGCAGAGACGTGCCCTAACGACCTCGTTTTTGTTGTCCTGGGGTTCTGTGCACCGGCCTCGCCCGGGGGAACAGAGCACACATCGCACAAACACCGTGAGAGGCAGAGCAAGTGGCTCGAGGTTCCCAGACCATGTGCGGACCCTCCTTGCCTCGGACACCCCACCACCGTGAATCACTGGTTCTCGCGGCTGATGAGCTATCGCAGGGACTCCACGGGGAGGCCCAGCCCGATTCTTTCGGAAGTGGTGATCGGCATGGCGTGTTCGTCCCTCTTCTCCACCGACTGATCTTGCTGCTGCTCCCCCCCAATCATACTCCCCGACTTTCGCATGCCATCATGCAAAAGTGAAGCTTCGACGGGCTTGGGAGCGCCAGCAGGTTTCGAGTACACGAGGGTCCCCCCACCATGGTAATCGAGTGGGGGACGGGTGGGGGAGGATCAGGGCCCAGGAGATAATTATTCTTGCAGGCGGGGGGGCGTCGGAGAGGGGGCCATATTGGTCAATTCCTCCCCCCCATCCTGGGAAGTGCTTAGCAGAGGGTGTGTTCGAGCCGAGTGCATTTGATGGACACGCGGTTGATTGCCCGACTAACCGTTCCTATCATGGCGGCCACGATGCTGACTGCCTCCGCGAGCGCCTGCCCGCCCCGGTGGTGGGCATCCGCCGTTTCCCGGCTCGCAGGATGGAGCCTCGCCGGCGCTCCCGCACCTGGCCAGAGGGGGAACAAACGATTCACGGGGAGGCCAACCTTGATTCGGGGGCGGCAAAGAGGGGGGTGATGACTAGGGGGGGGGATATCATGGCGGGGGCCACGATATTTCCCCAGATTTTATGGCACCTCTTCTTATTTCATTACGTCCCTGGCCCCCCCGCTGGGCTGCGCACATGCCGCCGGCCATGATTTGCACCCCCCCCTCTTGGACACCCCCCTCTTGGCCGCTCCCGATTGATTACTTCAGAACAAACGCACCCTGGAGAGGCGACCTCAGGCCTGGTCTTGGCGCATGCTATGGCTGGAGCAGTGCCCCTGCGACGTCTCGCTGGGGCCTGTTTTCTGCCCCTTGGAGGTGAGGTGTCTGGGCCTGCCCAGCTCTTCCTGGGGGCCTCGGTGCATGCGCGCCCGTTGCTCACCACCCACCAAGCCACCCCAACCCAGCCCGAAGGCCCCAATTTGGCCTTCATTTCCAGTGGGGGGGGGATCGGGGAACATTGAAAAAACACATGGAACCCGTGCCCCCCCCCCAACCCGAAATTCGGGTCTTCGGGTTGGGTTGGGGTGGTCTGGCAGGTAGTCAGTTGTGGAAAATGCTCAAATTGGTGTTTGACCCGGCTCCCTACAGGACGCACGCCCCCCCGATCTTCCAGTTCCGCCCGCTCCGCAGGGGTGGAAGTGTACACACAGTATGGGCATCTCCAGCACAGGCGGGACCAGAAACACCACGGCGACCAGCCCGTCTGCGAACAGAGCGCGGGCGAACAGCAGCACGGCCAAGACGCTGGATCAGGGACCGCTTTGGGCTCAGGAGGTGCTTTAGTTTTCCAGCCGCTTCTGAGATCTAGGTTGGGGAACCTGTTCGTGGCCGAGGCTCGCCGTGGCCAGAAGAGCACCCTCGTGCCTTGCGTGGCAGCACGATGGCCGTGTGAGCGTCACCACAGCAACGAGGACCCACAGGGCACCACGGCCCACGTCGATACCCCGTTGTGCCACCTCTGCCTCCTCACCCTTCCAAATTGATCCCGCGCGTGCGGCCCCTCTGCCGCGACCCTCGCCCTGGGCGTCCGTCTCGACCAGGGGCTCACATCTCTGCCGCCGCGTGTTGCACCTACTGCGCTGGTCGGCGACGCCCATGACCTGCTGCTCCATCCCCAGACCCGCCCAGTGAGCAGTGAATCCGTGCCATGTCTTCACCCTCCATGCTCTTATCGCCTCGGCCGTTCCTCCCGACAAGGATGCTCATCTGAGCTTGGGTGCGGCCGCGTGCTTCGCAGGAGCCGCGCGGGAGTCCGATTGCTCACTCCTCATGCGCACGTCAGCTCGGCCATCGCTTCTTCCTCGAAGCTCCGCCCTCGGTTCCCCTCTGCGCCAGCGCAGCAGCGACTGTTGTCGAATCGACGTGCCAGTCAGCATGCCCGCGCTCACTTTGGCGCCCAACGCAGCGTCCTGATCTCCTGATCGAAAGTACAGCTGCCTGCGGCAAATCCCACCACCGTACCAGTGCATCAGCCGCGCGGCAGGACTGAGGCCGAGTTGAAGACACACTTCGGCACAGTGCTAGATTACAGCTGGTTCTGGTCTTGAACATCCCCTCCTCGTCCGCAGCCTCGTGCTCCCATCCCTTCAAAATGTGTTGTTGTTGATCGTATCCTGATGTCCTTACTGCCTCCTCACACTTTAAAGGCATCCTAGATGCTTTGGGGATCCTCATTTGTTTTTGTTTGCGGCCATCTTCGGGACCTGTTCGGGGGGCGTTTGGCGTCTTGCAAAAGCATCAGCGCAGTTGGAAGGCTATTGATTGCAAGGCCCAGGCTACTTCTACGAGCAGTCTGTGCTCGCGCAGGTCTGATTTCGTTCCCATCTGGCCTTGTGACCTCTTGTGGCTCTGTTGGGGGCCTGCCGGGGGGTCGGTTGGGGCCAAAGGCCCGTTGGGAATCTCGAGGCCGTCTTGGGCGCAGTGGTTCCGCCAAGCTCTTCCGAAGAGACTCGGTTGAAGCAGCTGGAGGATGTCTGGGCGGGTCTTGGGGGAGTCTAGGATGTGAATCATGCAGTCTTGGGGCAATACGGGGGCTCTCCTGAAGCTGTGTTGTTCAGTCTTGATGGAGATTCTTGGGGCTCTCTGAAGATGTCCCGAGGGGATCTGAGGCCGTCTTATAGCCGAAGCAGAAACGCATGGAGCTTCCGCATGCATGTATCAGTTATCTCCTTAACGCTTCGTTGGATGCCTCTTCTAGCGTCTCCTGAAGGCGCCAGGGAGCCTGTTGGAGCGGCTTTGGGGTGACACTGGAGCCTGTGCAAGCTCTCTGGGCCGCCTTCGGACGGTTTGGGCGTGTCTTGCAGCCCGTTGGTGCGTTTGGTACGGTCTTTGGCTGTCTTGAAGCCGTCTGAAAGATGACGAGTGTGCTCTCGGGGCTGGCTTGGGGGGCTATTGGGGCCATAGTTGGCCGTCTTTGGAGCTCCTTGGCGCTCTCTGAAGCCTTCCCGAGGCGATCCAAAGCCGCTTTCTAGCCTCATTGATGCTATCTATGCTGTTTCAGCGTTGTTTTGCCTCTGAGACCTCGCTGGAGGCCTCGTTGTGCATCTCTGGAGTGCATATTTGGACATTTTGCTGGAGCTCGTTGGGCGGTCTTCGGACCGACACGCGGGCGATATTTGGCTGTCTTGGAGCCGCTTGGCAGCCGAAGGGTGTGCTCTTGGGGGCTGTCTCGGGCCGTCGTTTGAGTTTCTTGACGCCCTCTGAAGCCCTCCGGTGAGATCTGAAGCCGCCCCGCCTCGGAGGCAAAAGCAACACATTATGTGATCTTCCATGTTTGACATACTGCCGCTTTGCCTTCTGAGAGTCCCCTTCTATTGGGATGCAACTCCTCCGAGGTCAAATTCTGATTTTGCACTGGTCCGAAGTCTGGCTTAATCCCGCTTAAGCCCGCCCATAATCCCGCCGAGTCCCGCTGAATCCCGCTCAATCCGAGGCCCACTCCGGCGTAATAGCTCCCAAATGGGGCTTCATCCTCCTTAGTCTTTCCGACGAAAACCTCCAAGTGTTTGCCTCCTGACCTTCTGTGTTCTCTTCGCAGGCCTACAGGTTGACACCAACACCAACATCAGCGGTGTGCCTCCACCGAGGGGCGAAGATCCCGATCTCGGTGACGGTGGTCACAGTGTGGCTTCCAAGGTGACCGACAGACTGCCACCAACACCGAAACCTGCGATCCTGCTTCGCCCCTGTGGAGGCAAGCCCCGGTGTTGGTGCTGGCGCCCATTTCCAGGCCTCCGATCTCTTCCAGCTCTCTCGGGGGCGGCTCCGTGGGGCCGTCGCGGGGCACATTCGGGGGGAGGCCCTGCGGTCCTGGAGAGCCTGCCTGCCGTCTCTGCCTCGCCTCGGGGCGTCCCCGTGGCCGTCCTGGGGCGGTCCTGGGCCTTGACCGCGGTGGCCCCCCAGGGAAGCGGGGGAAGCGGGGGAACGATGTCCTCCTCCTCCTCCTCCTCCTCCTCCTCCTCCTCCTCCTCGCGTCCTCGCCTCCTCCTCCTCCTCCTCCTCCTCCTCCTCCTCCTCCTCCTCCTCCTCCTCCTCCTCCCCGGCGGCCAGGCGGGGGGAGCGCGGCGACCCCGCGAGATGCGGGCGCTGCAATTTTTCACGCCAGGCGCCTGCGCCCGGATTTTCGGGCCCTGGGGCCGCGACGGATCGAGGCACAGGGCGGGAAGGGCATCGTCATGGGATGGAAGGGGACCTGACGGGGGCAGGGAGGGGGAGGACAAGGGCGGAGCAGGAGGCAGGGAGAGGGAGGTGGAAGAGGAGGAGGAGGAGGAGGAGGAGGAGGCGGAGGAGGCGGAGGCATGACAAGGCGCACATGGAGGAGAAGGAGGAGAAGACGAGGAGGAGGAGGAAGAGGAGGACAACATGGAGGAGGAGGAGGAGGAGGAGGAGGAGGAGGAGGAGAAGGAGGAGGACCAGACGAACGTTCTGGCGAACGCAACACGCCTGACAGCCAGAACTACGTTTTGCGCCTACACCTTGACTTCTGTGCCCACGCTCCAGGCTGCGTGTGACGCACCAGGGCGATTGACTTCAAAGACTTCAGATCTGCGACGCGAGAGCCCCACGGAGAGGTCCCGATCCGGATGGTCCTGGGATCCGGATGAGCCCCGAGAGGAGGAGGATGGATGGAGATCTGGAGGGGGAGGCCCTCGAGGAGGAGGAGGAGGAGGAGGAGGAGGAGGAGGAGGAGGAGGAGGAGGAGGAGGAGGAGGAGGAGGAGGAGGAGGTAGGAGGAGGGAGGAGGAGGAGGAGGAGGAGGAGGAGGAGGAGGAGGAGGAGGAGGAGGAGGAGGAGGAGGAGGAGGAGGAGAGGAGAGGAGGAGGAGGAGGAGGAGGAGGAGGAGGAGGAGGAGGAGGAGGAGGAGGAGGAGGAGGAGGAGGAGGAGGATGAGGCCCCCCTTGAGATCTGGGAGTGGGCTGCGCAGGGGGCCGCGCGCCGGAGGCCCTTTCGGCCCCCGCTTCCTCTGCGCGCCCAGGGTCGAACTATAGAAGCACGAAACATAAATTACCAGCCTGGAACATATCCCCATCCCTATGCTGGGCATCTCCCCATCACGATGCCAATCTTAGGGATTTCCCTTATGTTTTGAGGGCGGATCCCTAAGATTGGCATCGCCTTGTGGCGTGTCCATCTTAGGGATAGGGATAAGTTCGAGGCTGGTCAATAACAGCGATCCAGTCGGACCCCCCCTCGCCATCAAATTCGGGCTGGCGGTCTCGGTACCTTCCCCCCTAGCGATGCCCCCTGGTTTCCGGGTCATAGTTCGGCTCTCCGGCGGCCGATCGGGACGCTCCGCGCACGCCCAGCAAGGCCTCGGCGAGGCACAGCTGTTGGAGAACATCCTCACGATGGGCAAATGTTCCACCTCCGCTACCATAATAGAACGGGGAAGAAGCAAGGAGGATGGAGGTCCTCCTCCTCCTCCTCCTCCATCTCGTCCTCCTCGTCCTCCTCCTCCTCCTCCTCCTCCTCCTCCTCCTCCTCCTCCTCCTCCCTCTCCTACCTGTGGCAGGGGTTGTGGAAAATATAAGTGGGCCCATCGTCCCCAGGCTGGAAAGCCGACGAGGACCGACGAGCACGTCCGACGAGATCCTATCGTCGGAGCTCTGTGGGAGCGATGCCCGCGGACGATACACGTGCACCGTACCGCGCAGGCGTCTCCCGAGGCGTTGCCGATCTTCGACCTGGGCATGGCACGGTGCACAGTTTGACGGCCCTGAGGGCCCCCCAAAAATATGCACCGTACCGCGTTGGAGCGAGGCCTGAAGGGAGTTCAGGCATGGTGCGGTGCACACGCGCGTTCTCGCACGTTGGCTCCGAAGGCCCCCGTGCGGCCCCCGTCAGCCTTCGGCCCGCTGCCCTCGGCAGCGCGCATGGCGCGCGGCGCGCGCGTGCGGCGCGCGGCGGCGGCGGCGGCGGCGTGCGCCGAGCCGCCAGTGGACGGCGGCCTCGAGGCCAAGGCTTCGGCAGCAAGCCACGGGAGCCTCATGATACCTTTGCGCTCGGGGGTGCACTGACCCGGGTCAAGCGGGCCCAGGGTCCACGGGTTTTCAGGATCATGCGGGAGCTTGCGCGCAAGCCCGGGTCAATGCACCCCTGGCTCTGCATGATCTTGCAAGATCCTTTGTTTTGACTGACCCACGTTTGCATTGACCCCCGTCTCTTGAGGCCCCATTTCCATCCTTAGCAGAATGACGCAGAAAGATGGGGTTCGGGGCTCCCGTCTGGATTTCCTGTGATGCTGCATTTTTCGCAACGTCGAATCTCGGGGTCATGGGAGCCTTGTGTGCCCGCAGGATGTCAGGGTTTCTTCGATCTTGCCGCGCTCTCCCAAGCTCCTGGCTGGTAACAGACTCTGCGCGCCCACTGGTTCGCCCTGTCCTTCTCCTTCTCTTCCTTCTCCTCTATCCCTGCGCCTCTTCCTCTCCTCCTCCCCTTCTCCTCTGCTCTACCTTCGCAATTCCGCCTTTAGAGTGTGCTAGAGTCGATGATCGCGCCGATGAACGTCGACTAGCGTTAGCTTCGATTTGGCGTCGACTAGCTTCGAGTAGCGTCGTTCCACAAGAGCCAGCAAGAGGGTACGTGAGGCTCCCATGAGCTGCCGCAGAGCAAGGTGTTGCTGCAGGACGGGGTCTGCCTGCTGTTCGTCCAGACGCCCGAGCGTGGGCACGAGCTGCGCCATCGTCGGCCACGCGCAAGAGTGACCTCGAAGAACAAAAGCTGCATCAACATGAACTCTCTGAGCTCTTCGTGGATGTCTTGGATCGGCGCTCGGGCCATTTGGCGCGCTCCGCGAGCCAGGGAGGGGGGTCCAGCGCCGATCCAGGACGTCCGCCCGGACACCCGACACCCTACATGCTTCTGCTGCTCTCTTGTGCCCGTAGGACCCCCGAAGGGAGTGGCCTACGGCGTGGAGGCCCACAGGGGTCCCCCCGGCACTACCTCGCGCGCTTGCGGTCATCGGGAGCCTTGAGACGGGGGTCAATGCAAACGGGGGTCAGCCAGAGCGCCGGATCTTGCAGGATCCTGCAGGGCCAGGGTCGCACTGACCCGGGTTTGGGTGCAGGATCTTGCAGGATCCTTCGCATCGACCCGGGTTTGGGTGCAGCATCTTGCAGGATCTTGCAGGATCCTGCAAGGGCTCACTGACCCGGGTCTGGATTGACCCGGGTCAGAAGATCCCCGAGGTCAGGAGCTGTGGCTCAGCATGTCGCTCCGCCGGCACTGGCCCGTCTCACTTCGGCGCGGCACGCGATCCACCTTCACGCGCCCGAGCGTCCACGTGCCGAGCTGTTGAGCCCCCCGCTGCCCGCTTGCAAGGCATCGCGTGTTGCTGGGACCGCCGCGGCGATGCGCCAGGCAAAGTTCCCGACCGTAGAGTTGGCCCCTCCGCGGCCCCCCGCTCGACATCGATCGGACGTGGCCACGTTTTGAGGCGAGGACCATCGAGGATTCGTCCAAATCATGTCGGCAGAGACCATGCACGCAACCAGAATATGCATGGGGACTGTGCGTCCGAGCGATGGCAGGCCCGGAGCCGCGCACTGGAGACTGCTCCTGCCCGTGGCCGCTCCTGCGCGTGGCCGGCACGTCGCTGGGAGAGAGCGCCGCTCCCGGGGGACCTCGGCGCTGGGCTGAGGGAGATCGAGCGCCACCTGGACGGCTGGCCGGACTTTTTCGTGGGAGAACACACATGTCCGTGCTTGAGCGGGTTCGGGCCAGAGCCGCGATCCTTTCTCGCGGGGGCCCAGGGGAGTACTGCTGGGATCTCGGGCGCGGTGACTCCCTGGCTCGCTTGCTCTGCGGGCAAAAAGCCAGATCCGTATCCGCAGACTCGCGGGCCGGGCCCCTGGGCCGCGACTCCGCGGGTACGGGGCGTTTTTTCGCGAACGCCCCCCGCGGAATTTGTCCGTGCGACCGCGCACCCGCGGGATCGCGCCCCGGAATCCAGACCGCGAGGGCGCGGACACGGATATGTCCGCCGCTCACGAGGACTGCCGCGTGAAGGCGGCGAAGCAGGAGTTCACGAGGCTACTGGGCACGCTGCCGAGCAGGCCGCGCCGGCTGTCCCTGTCCGGCGCCGCCACGGGCGGCCGCTCGCGCGGCGCCCTGGCGCCCATCAAGCGCAAGACCGAGCGCAGGGAGGCCCGGCGCGAGGAGAAGGCCGAGGCCGCTGCCTGGATCCCGCAGAGCGTGGAGCTGCGAGGGGGAAGGGCACCTGCAGGCCGCCCAGGAGTCCGTGCTCAGGCACCTGCGGGCTGAGGGGGGCGTGCTCAGGCGCACTCCAGCTGCCCGGGGAGGCGTGCTCAAGGTATGTCCGCCCGGGCTACCCAGGGGCGCGGCCTGGCAGGTACCCACACCGCCACCCGTGAGGCCCTCGTCGTTGCGGCTGGATTCGTTTCGAAATCCTGCTCCGACGGCGCCAAGGGAGAAGTCCAGGGAGTAGTGGCGATCGGTACCTCGTGGTCCCCCCAGGAGCAGGAGCTGCTGCTGCGGCTCCGGCAGGGCGTCTACAGGGGCGCCCGCGAGCCGCTGACGCGCACCCGGGTCGGCGAGGCCGAGGTCGCGGAGCTCCAGCTGGAGGCGGGGCTGGAGGCAGGGCTTAAGTCGGGCACGTCCCTGCACAGGGGGAATATTGAATAAATAGTTATAGAAATAGTCAGGGGACGATGTTTCTACTATTTGTGTTGTTTCTTGACTCTTGCTGGAGGCGGCAGGGCCCGCGGGGCGGGCGGCGCCCCGCCGGAAGCGCAGGAGGGCGCGCGAGGCAGAGGCCGCCGTCGAGCTGGAGCGCGAGGTGGAGACGGGCTGAGCACCGCCTCCGCCCTGCTCCTCCCTTCTCCGCCCTCCTCCCCTTTCTCCCTCCTCCTCCCCCTCTTCCCTCCTCCTCCTCCTCCTCCTCCTCCTCCTCCTCCTCACCCTCCTCCTCCTCCTCCTCCTCCTCCTCCTCCTCCTCCTCCTCCTCCTCCTCCTCCTCACCCTCCTCATCCTCCTCCTCCTCCTCCTCCTCCTAAACTAAACTAAACACACATCGGGCTGTTTAGGGTATCTAGCCGATCCTTTGGCGTCTGAACAGCTTGCTGTGAAGTTCGGTACCTGGGCTTCTCGCATGGTCAATTTTTATTGTGAAGCGCTATCCCGCCAGAGGCCCAGCCTGCGTTTAAGGGGCGCGGCGTGGTACAACCTATTCAGGTCAAAACTATAAGCAGGAAGTCCGCCCCACTGCAGTCCGTGCATAACGATTGTAACTGGTGGGCTGTTTTAAGCTCTCATTTATCATTACTAGGTAGAGTTGCGAGTAAATCAGGATCTGGTAAGACTTTGGACCAGCTGCACGCTAAGATTTTATCCCTGGCCCCTCGTACTCCTGAATTAAAGCTGCCCTCCCTTGACAAGGACGCCGCTACCTCATGGAGGCGCGCCTTGGAGGAGATCCCACACTTGTCAGCCAAACAGATTTTCCCCTTGGCCGAGGCAGCTGACAGGAACTTTAATCGTGCATCCAGAATTGTAACCGACCGTGCGTTAAAAGGTTTCTCGGATTGGGCAGAAAGACCTGGTAGTTTAGGAGGCCTCCACACATTAACCAAGCCTAAGCCCCGCCAAACGAGCGAGGCCCTGGGCGAAGGAGGTTTGCCCATTTACACCTCCCTGGAATTGATGAGCGCACGCGCCAAGCCCTGGATTAAAAAGTGGACCAGGCGAGACAGTCGTGGCCAGTTGGAACAGACCTTTCGAGAGGTGCGCGAGAGTGCTCTGGAGGCCCTTCCTCTTCCTCCTTTGGATCCCTCCCGTTTGGATCGTATCCTCCAGAACACTCCTGAGCGCAAGTCACGTGGCTGTATCAACATCAGTGCTCGCGATATTTCAAGGCTGCCGCCTTCCGCTCGGTCGGAGCTCCTGGATATTTTTCACACGATGGAAGTTTCCATCGCGTGGCCGTGGCAAATGCTGCAGGCTTGGGTTGCCCTCCTGCCTAAAGAATCTGGAGCCGACCGTAGCATAGCCAGCTTCGCGTATGTGGCGCGGCTGTGGGAGCAGATGCGTCGTGAATGCACTGACCAGTGGGCCCTTGATAGGCAGCGCAAAGCCAGGTTTGATGACGCCGTCAGGGGTAGCTCAGCCGTTCAAGCTGCCCTGCGCAGGCTTGTGCTAGACGAGAGCGCCTACGAATTTCAAGTAACCACCACATCTGCCCTTGTAGACGTTGATAGTTTTTATGACAGCCTAGACCCCCTCTTGGTGCTACAACTCGGTACAAAGCATACTTACCCTTGCGTCGTGCTCGCCCTTAGTATCCAGTTGCACCTTGCCCCCAGATTCCTGCGGAGTTTGTGTTCCTTCTCGGACGCCATCCTTCCGTGGTGGGCGTTGCTCGCTGGATGCAGGTCGGCCCAGCATTTGGCGGCTTGTGTGCTGATGGACCTCATGTTTGAGGTCAACTCTCGGTTTCAATCAGGGCTCGAGGCACGCACGTGGGTGGATGACGTGAACAGCAGGGCTGAAGGCACAGCCCAGCAGGTCACGTCCAACACAGTCGAGTTTGTGCGAGAATTCAAAGTCGGGCTCGATGGCTTACGTTTGTCTCTTTCCAGCAAGTCTTGCATCATTGCCTCATCCCCGCCCATCGCCAAAGAAGTGGGAGCTGAGCTCGCGAAGACAGGTATCACTGTGCAGGTTTCAGGTAGTGCCCCCGATCTCGGCATCGACAGAGGCCACAATGTTAATCGTCGCCGCACTCGTGGTCTCCAAAGGTGGCGGAAAGGAGTTCGGAGAGGCAGCCGCATTGCCAGCTTGCGATCTCTCAAGCAACGTATCCGCCGCAAGCTTTTTAAAACAGGTGCTGTCCCGCAGGCCATGTACGAGTCCAAACTTTTTGGGGTGGCCCCAGGTCGGCTGCAAAAGCTGCGGCAGTCCGCCGCCCGAGCCGTCTGGGAGCAAACGCAAGGCAGGTGTCTCACGACTGTTTTGGCCCTCAGGTTCGGATCCAGGGACCCTGCGGTTGTCGCTGTTATAGATATGTTGGTGGAGTGGTTCCGTTATTTGAGAATGGACGGTGCCCCGATCGGCCGCCTCCAAGATGCTTGGAGGCAGATTTATAGCCGTGTCGCCACCATCCCAGCCAATCGCAGGTGGTTCAGAATCCGAGGCCCCATGTCTGCCATCAGCACTTCCCTTCTTGCGCTTGGATGGGGCGATCCTGGGCGCTTCGAGTGGCGCGACCCATTTGACGAGCGCTGGGAGGCCCCCGTCCAAGACCTCTCCTCTCTCCGTACGTTTCTCGCATCTTACGGCCCCTCCGACCTGCTGGCCGCCGTCCACAAGACTGTGGAGGTCAAGCTGTGGGCAGGCGCGTCCACCCAGCATCTGGGAAGCGGGATGGAGGAGGGTGTTGATTTGTTCAGCTTAAGGCAGCAGCTTGCCAAGCTTGATGAAGCCCAAGAGTTCCAGACCAGAGCTGCAGTTGAATGTGCCGCAGCTGCAGGTCTGTGGCCCAGGCAACGCATTGCAGAGTGTTGTGTTGTGCAGGATGTCGACCCCACTTGCCCTAGATGTGGAGAGGCCCCCGAGAGCCTCCGCCATCGAGTTTGGCAATGCCCGTGCAACGCTGACCTTCCAGAGTGTCAAGATATGCAAGACGTGGTTGAGGCTGCCGAAACTGCCCTCGGTCAGAATTCAAATGTTTGTTTTTTGGCTCCGAGGCATGATCCCTTCCAACCTCGTGTCCATCCCCGACCCCCGCGACGCAGTTGAGCTGCGCGATGTGACCTGCCCACCCGTTGAAGCTGGCGGTGTAGCGACCCGCGGAGGTAGCGAGCCCCCAGCTGAAGTGGCGGGACGTCTTCTCGCGGGTGACGGGTCTGGGGGTGCGAATGCTAAGGGCCCAAGGCTGCGGAGATGTGCCTGGGCGTGGGTCGAGCTCAACCCGAGGTCTCAGGAAGCGGAGGTCGCGCGTCGTAGGAGCGCCCCCTTGGCTGGACGCAGGCAGACTTCCAACATAGCCGAGCTTTGGGCTCTCCTCGATTGCGTACAGCAAGTTTTGGACGATTTGACCTTTTTGTGCGACTCGGCCTATGTTGTCCGAGGCTGGTTCAAACTGCTGGCGGGCGGCATGCCCAAGTCGAGCTTCGATTTGTGGTTTTCCCTGGCCCAGGTCGCCGAAACCAGGGCCCGAGGGATCATTCAAATTAAGGTTGAGAGCCATGTGGGCGAGGACAGATACCGCGCACTTGGCCTCCCCGAGCTGTTTCGTCTTGCGAATATCGAGGCCGATCGGATCGCCGATTGGGAAGCTGGGATGTGCCAGATTGACCCCGACACAACCCAGAGTGTTATCGCTCTCGACACTCTCGCCGAGCAGGTCCGTCTCCGTCTTGCTTCTACTCTCATTGCTGCTGCCCCACACGACAGTCGCAGTCAGAGAGACAGGGCTAAACCCTTCAACGGAGTTCGGAAAGCTGGCCTGAGTAAGTTAGAGAAAGCGGTCCAGATTTCCCCGCATAAGAACGGCCTTCAGTTTTTGGAATCGCGGTTTAGTTGCAGGTTGTGCCACCAGAAGCCCTCCAAGGAGGTGGTTGTGGATTGGCTCTCGACTCCTTGCAACCCCATTGATTATGGTGCTGCCCCCTCCTCCTCCAGGTCCGCCCCGCTCCAGATCGGGAATCAGATTGTCCACCCGTCCCACGCCGCCCGTTTTTTTGAGCACGCCGATTGCTGGGCGTGTACAACTTGCGGGGGCCTCGGTATGGACCGATCGATCCTGTTGCTGGCCCAGCCCTGTCGCCCCCTCTCTAAGAAGGGGGCCGAGAATCTCAGCAAGCTGGAGAGGGGCCTCATGCCAGACGCGAGCGCGCGGGCCAAGGCTTTCAACCAGGCCAAGGCCCGCCCCGCCTGCAGCGGAGGAGTCCCTCCCCCCCCTCCTCCCCCTCCCCTTTGAGCTCATTGGAGCCCTCGGTGCAAATCCTCCTCCTCCTCCTCCTCTTCCTCCTCCTCCTCCTCCTCTTCCTCCTCCTCCTCCTCCTCCTCCTTCTCCTCCTCCTCCTCCTCCTCCTCCTCCTCCTCCTCCTCTCTGTCCCAACCTCCCTCTTCTGTTCCATCTCCCGCCCTCTCCTTCTCCTGCCCTCCTCCGCGCCCGCGCCCGCGCCCCCGCGCGGGGCGCCGCCGCGGCCGCGGCGCTCGCCCCCCCCCCCCCTCCCCCGCTTCCCGAAGGGCGCCCGTGGCGACGAGGAGCTCCGGAGCCCGCCCCGAGCAAAAGGTCAGCACAGGGGGTGCCCTCGTGGCGCAGCCCTCTGCGGGAAGGCGCTCGCGACGGGCTTGCTAACGGGGGGAGGTGGGGCGGCGGGCGAGGCCGTGGTGCAGGCTGTGGGGTGTCCGCGCGATCGGCAGTGACGATCGACTGGTCGTTCTGCTTTGTCTCTCGGGGGGGACCCGCAGGGGTCCCCCAGCACTGCCTAGCGTGCTTGCGGTCAGCAGCTTTGGCTTAGCGTCTCGCTCCGCCGGTCCTGGTCCACCACGCTGCGGCGCGACACGCTGTCCACGCCGCGGCCCCCGAACGTCAACGTCTCGATTTTTTCCCAGCCCCCCAGTTGGGTGCGGCAGTTCGGCCAATCCTTCCTGAAACCTTCCTGAGGAAGGTTCGTGCAAAGGTTAGGAGGGATCCTCCGAAAAAACTTCAAAAGACCTTCCTGAGGAAGGTTGTTGGAAGGTTTTCTAAAAATAAGCCCTCCTGAAACCTTCCTGAGGAAGGTTTTGGTTTGAAGGTCTTAAGGAGGAAGCTCTCCTGAAACCTTCCCGAGGAAGGTTGTTGAAAGG